CCGTGGAATGTTCCCAGCATTAAGCTCGGTGACAAGCTCAGACTCCTTATTGAAGCACCGTGCCTCGCCCTCGAAGCGAAGTCCCTCTTTCCCTGTAATCTTGGCCACTGCACCGCCAGGCGCGATATTTCCATGTAGCACAACGAGATGTCCAGCGGGCTTGATAGGGTTGGAAAGGGGCCGAATGATATCCTGTTCAAGGGGCAAGGATGGCCAAGAGGCAACGTTCTCCTCGAGAGTTTTCCCGGAGACTGTCAAAGTCTTTCCATTGATGAGACCCCCTGCAATTAGGAGCTTGGTGACCGATGGTACTCCGCCGACGTGGAATAGGTCCTCGATGACGTATTTGCCGCTCGGCTTCAGGTTCGCGATGAATGGCGTCTTGCGAGAGACTCGTTGGAAGTCTTCAAGGCTGAGAGGCACTTCAGCTGCTCTGGCCATAGCAAGAGTATGCAAAACAGAGTTTGTGGACCCTCCCAGGGCCATGGTGATGACGAGGGCATTCTCAAATGACTCCTTGGTGAGGATGTCCCTGGGCCGGATGTTGCGACGCAAGCAAACTTCAATGGCATCGGCAACCTTGACTGCTTCTCTCATCTTGATTGGAGAAGCTGCCGGGGTACTCGATGAGCCAGTGACAGATAACCCGAGAGTTTCGATGATTGTAGCCAAGCTATTCGCAGTGTACATGCCGCCGCACGCACCTGGACCTGGAACAGCTCCCTTTTCGATGGATGACAGAATTTCTTCGGGCGTGACAGACTTATCGTCGGACCAAGAGCCCAGTGTGCCGAACAGGTAGGCCCCTTGAGCTTCGTAGCAGGTGACAATGTCGATCGGCTTTTTCAGCACCTCGCAGTACCCACCAGCAACAGTGCCTCCATAGACAATGACTGATGGACGATTGTGTCTTGCAACTGCCATGACACAGCCTGGCATGTTCTTGTCGCACCCAGGTATGGCCACAGTGGCATCGTGAGCCTGCGCACAGGTGATGGTCTCGATGTTGTCTGCAATGAGCTCGCGTGACTGCAGAGAGAATCTCATGCCTTCGTTGCCTTGGGCAATACCGTCTGATACGCCCAAAGTGCTGTACTGCCAAGCGATATACCCTTTCTTCTTGATGGCTTCCTTGATGGTCTTTCCCAAGTCTAGCAGGTGCATATTGCACGGGTTCCCTTCCCACCAAACTGATGCGACACCAACCTGAGGACTCCTCTGCATCATTTCCTCGTTAGGAACACCTGCAGCATAAAGCATAGCCTGTATTCGACAGTGTTAGTCTGCTTCGCAGATGATACGATCCTGGGCGATGTCTTTCCTTAGCCCCAGGGAAGTCATGCTCTCGAGTGAGAAAAGTCGAGTACTTGTTCAGGACCGGTTTTCCGTCTTCCCAGGTGGCGTCATTTGGGGCAATGGGGAATTCGACGTATCGAGGCTCATGGTGTCCTTGGTCTTGCTCGGCAGCAGGATGAACCGCATCGAAATTTGAAGTCATCTTGAATGGTCTGCAAAGACTCGGCAATGGTCAGAGGCCAAGACAGCTGACTTCAAACTAGTGCTGCCAGTGATGAATGATCAGATTTTGGAAAGGAGGAACACAAGTACGAACATGATCAACCTTTTCTTGTCAGTCCGGCTAGGTACTCACAAACATCCACAACCTGGGGTGCGGGGTAGTCTGGCTTGAACCTGACCGAGCTCCTCACGATACCAGTCTGCCCCCAATCAAAGAATACGGAATGTTGGTTTACGAGGAGAAAGCTGAAATTTCGATGGAGCCTCTCCACAGAAAAGCGAAGACTAATCGAAATAGGTCAGATACGATTTGTTGGAACGCAAGGATGCGGTGCGATGCAGCAGCCACGCTGATAAGTGTTGGGAGGAACCCCGCACCAACTCGGCCATAAGTCCGGCGGACTTTGTGGGTTCTAGATTCCGAGAAACGGACTCCCACCGAATATTTCAAGGCATCACGAGATTGCGACGTCGTCACAAAAGAATGTGAGTTCTATAATAGGATTGACAACTCACAATTCCTTCTCGGCCGGGTTGGGGAAGCTTCGTAGAATTGCAAGAATTGAGATAGGATTAAACGTAGAGCTCAACAAGATTTCGGCTGCCTACTGAATCTCCTTTTCTCAGATCCTTTCCGCCTGTCCCTCATACTGTTTTTTTTGTAATGAGGATGTACCTCGTCCACGGATGTTCTTCCTTGAATCCCAATAAGGCTTGGATTTTCTTATTCGACATTGGGGCCTCGCGCTCGCCCATTTCCCGAGTGAAGGGCGTCAATGGGCTCACGCGGTTCAAGAATGCAGTCGTATTTTCCGTGTTGGTGATGTCGTTATTTGTCGCATTGAATATCTGCCAGCCAAGGCCATCCTTCTCAAGACAGAGATGACACATCTGCCCAAGATCTCTGGCATCTATGTAGGACCATCCGTGAACGTCCCAAGACTCCGGCTGGTTTATGTAGCCAGAAAAGTTTTCGGCGTACTTGTCAGGCTCGATGACAGCTCCGATGCGGAGGCAGTAGATATCAACACCGAAACGAGTTGAGAAACTTCTTGCAATGGTTTCTCCAACAACCTTGGAAAGTGCGTAAGGGTCTGTCGGATTGCAGTCGACCTCCTCATCAATTGGGAACGAACTGAATTGCCGATACTCTTCGGCGAATGTGACACCGTAGACGCAGACACTACTCGCCAAGATGATTTTCTTGACGCCTAATTTGCATGCTGCCTCGACGACATTGTGAATACTGTTCACATTTGTCTTGAAAACTTCACTATCGGGGGCGAGAAGAGGTCGAGCGTAGCCAGCAAAATGGATGACCGCATCAGGAATCGAGGACTTTTCGAGAGGTTGACTGAGCCGGAATTGGGAGTGAAGCGCGCTGTACACTTGTCCGGCATCGCTAACGTCGCATCTCATCGTATGAACTGCGGGGTTGTCGAGAAGGGCAATGTCGAGATTCATCACCTCGTGGCCTTTGCGTAGAAGCTCTTGAATTACCCAGCGTCCAGCGACGCCGGAGCCGCCTGTGAAGATAATGCGTTTGCCCATGAGTAACGAGGTTTCAGATTGACGACGAGGATTGTTGAGAAGTGAAGTTCGGAGTACAAGCAGCGAGACAGACTTTGGAGCAATCAGTACTCCAAGTCTCCGCCTTTCTACCCAATCGCCGAACGCGGTTTAACTGACCTCCCAATCACCCAGTTCACTCCAATCCACCCACTATCAATACTCGGGAAGGTATTCCCTTCGAGTCACAACACCTTTCATGTTCAATCTACGACATATTGGATCAAAGATTTGCAGAAGGAACGCGACAGAAGTTGCGGCAAAGCCCTCGGATTAGCTTGGTCGCTTTTTCGGTTGCCGAAATTTTCCCGCGCGACCCATGGCATTAGTATTCGTCGAAAATTGTGTGGCGAAAAGTCATGAAAGGGCGCCATCGAAAGAATGAACGACTTCGTTTGTTAGCTTGTTTGGCGGGACTGGGGTGACGGAGAAAGCAAAGCTAGCAATCTAAAGGCAAAAGGAAATGGCGTCGCAGACCCCGGTCAGGCTCTACCTTACACTGGTCACGTAAAATACGAAGTCTTACTTGTCTTGTTCAAGTATGACTAACTCCATCCCAGTCACATGCAAGCAGATAGTAGGAAGTTCCGGTCTCTTCTATTTCAAGAAAACTTCCCTTAACATACTTTGACGGGTGATCTCTACCATGGAGAATCCAGACTAGCGGCAGAGCAGAACGTTGTATAAGCCTCCATCGCCCTGACACAAATGAAGATGGGGTGGCCTGGAGTACATGGATCAAACCTAGTTGTGGCAGGCTACAGTTTTTTTCACATTGCTGCCGGAGAGGTAGGTATTTTCTCAAGCTCAAAATAAGCCTTCAACGACGTTTTAGAAATTGGAGTCACATTTGGTGCGCAAGTTTAAGAGGTAGGCAAGAGGGGGCGGGACAACGCAGCTGAGGCTGTCCAGTATGGGAACAACAAGCCATTTTCGACGCTTGGAATGTGTCTTGTTATCCGGTTTCCTCTAACAGCATGACTTAAGAGACTTTTGGCTTAGTGTGAAGGAAGCTGCCCTACAATGACCCAAATTAAAGTCTCGCCTTTGAAAGACTTCTCATCCTTCAGATGAGGTGAATCTTATCTATGTGGTTCATTTAGCAACATGACGTTCCTTTCGGGTAAATTATACGTTGGATGCGATGCAAAGAAGATCCCGTAACTAGGGCATTCGTCCGCCAGATGCAACACCCCAAAGGCTAGCCCTTAGATGCCTCGGTCTCCATTATCCAAAAAAAAAAGAAGTGGCCGTATCAATGTTTTCAGACCAAGTCCAGGCATTCGGCGCTCTGAAAACCGCATCTTCTCGGCTTGGCAGAAGGTCTTAAGAGGCAAACACACGGGCTGAGAGCCGTGGTAGGCATGATGGCCACGATACTTCAGTACTCTGGCAGATCGCCAAAATACTCCAATCAGGAGCCAGCGTTTCCGGCCCAAAGAACCTAATCCCGACTTCACGGAGGTATGCCTACTGGAACCCCATACAACCATTGAATTTATGAAACTGCATGGGGTTCCATCTAGGAGGGGAGGGACCGCTTTAATCGGCACCCTGCGGTTTGCAAACTCACGTGGTCATGGGAAAAAGGTTTCCCTATTGAACGCAACAAGCAGAACATCTCCGAATATGCAAGCGCTTGAAATGATCATCTCCTCAACGCCATAATAGAATCGCTAGTTCGAATGTATGAAAATATGAATTGAATACGTACGACCTTGATGCTCGTGCGGATTTACCATTTCCTGGCAACATGCCACGAGACCATCACTCCCACTCGCCAAAAGAGCATCCGCGCCAATCAATTACTGATGAAGAAACCATGACTTTTAGTCGCTACATGTCGTGGTGATCTTACTTTAGTATCGTTTGCCTGCTCTTCTATAAGCAGCTAGTTTTATGTCACAGCAGAACGATTCATACTTCCTCTTAGCACCACAGTAACCTCCAACTTCAGCTCGACCCACATTGACAACATGGGTGGACCACAGCTACACCTACTACTGTACCTCTTTCTGAGCCTTTTGTTTGGTCCTATCTCTAGACAGGATAATCTCGGCACCAATAATGGCTTTGTAGAAGTCGAGACATCCAACTTCAAGGCTCGATTTGTGCGGGACGCTCAGGTTCTGGCATCTTTGAAGCCCATATGGCGACGACTTTGACTTCCTTCCTTCTGACGTTCTGGGCAATCGATCCCGCAACGAGCAATACCACTGGGGTGATATCACCTATAGATACCGGGCTCAAGGCGACAACGGCTGGATTGATGGGGATTCTGCTCAGCAGCGTAGGCCTGTCAAAACCTTATCTCAGAGCAACGATGTTCTTGCCGCCGCGGACCTCTCGCCTACGCTACCTTCTGGTCCGCTCAACATGGCTCGCGAATGGCTCAATGTTGATGGCGATCTCGCACTGCGTTTCGACATCAGCAACACCGGCAATTCCGACATTGAGATTGGCAGTCTCGGCTTCCCTGCTGAATTCAACACGTTTTTACGCATCATCATCCTGCAGACGCAATGGCGGCTTGTTCTCTGTCTGAGCCATACATCGGCATGGATTCTGGCCAAATTCGCGTTAATTCCATCAAAGGCACGGGCTCAGCTTTAGTTGTCACGGCCCTCACTGGCACCAATTCGCCCATGGAAGCTTACCGAAATCTTTGGGAATGGGGCTACGAAGGATCTGTCATGGCAGCCAGACGTTTGAAGGGTTCTACGAGTGGCAAGTCCTTACAAAAGCATGGGCAGAAAACGAGTGGGCTGTTCAGAAGGCACAATCTTGGAACCCACCCTCTTCTAGAACATTAACCCTCGGTTCAATTCTTCGATTCGGAGTAAGGTTTAGTGTCGTTACCGAAGGCGTGCGGGGATTTGACAAAGCGGTCCGGAAGACTCGTCACCCCACAGCCATCAGCGTCCCGGGCTACATTCTGCCTAGGGATCTGCCAGGAAAACTGTTCCTTCAGTCTGACTCCCCGATTTCCAGTATCTCTGTTGACCCTCAGGGATCACTATCTGTGGACCCCGCGGGAGACGCTGCTTACACCTTGACGCCCGGAGTGTCTGCCTAGGGGAGGGCAAGAGTGACGTTGACATATGATGACGGAAAGATTCAGACAATCCACTACTATATCACCAAGCCTGCCTCTGAAACCATTCAGACTATGGGGCATTTTCTCACGACAGAAGCACACTTCACCGATGAGTCTGACCCTTTTGGTCGTACGCCATCAATCATTACCTACGATTGCCAAAGCATGTCGATGGTTACGCAAGATCCCAGAGCCTGGGTACCCGGACTGAGCGACGAGAGTGGAGCAGGAGCTTACATTGCTGCCACTGTTAAGCAAACTATTTACCCAGACGCCGACGAAGTTAGGATTCTTGACGCGTTTGTGAACAATGTGGTTTGGGGAAACATCCAACAAGAGGACTTTGCGGTACGGAACTCTCTTGTCTTTTACGAGCCGGCCGAGGTCCCAGGATTCACGTATGAAAACTTTGACTGGACCTCTTGGACATCCTGGAGTAAGGATCGGTCACACGCGACTGACAGAGCCTACAACTATGTTCATCCCTCTGCGGCATACTGGTCTCTCTATAGAGTTGGACGCGCCTACCCGGAGCTAGTCAGCCAGGACTGGAGCTGGTATCTCGAGAAGGCCTATCGAACGGCTCTCCACATCCATCTCAGGTGGCGGCGTTGCCTGGATGGAGATGGGCCTGATGGGAGAGACCGTTTGGGGCATGATTGTGACTGACCTTCTACGTGAAGGGTTTGATGACGAAGCAGCTACTCTGGAAGTACTTATGAAGTCTCGAGCCGAGCACTGGGACTCTGTTGACGCCCCTTTTGGGAGCGAGATGGCCTGGGACTCCACCGCCCAAGAAGGTGTCTACTACTGGGCGAGGTAAGCTTCTGAACTCCTCACAGGATACGTCTGACTCAACTGATGGGTTTCGCCTAGATATTTCGGATTCAAAGATTTAGCAACACGGGCAGTAGACACCGTCCTTGGCTTCACCTCCAATGTTCCCCACTGGGGATGAAATGGTAATGCTCATCAGTACTGGGATTTTGAGTAAGTCTTTCCATCGCTATGGCATTTACTGTTCCACATCTGGATAGACTCAGAGCTAAAACTACGACTTTAGTCTTGCCGGAAAGCTGCGCAGGCTTGAGCGCCAGATCCATCACTACGGTTCCGCTTTGGACTCTCAAGTCTTACTCTCGGCGTTGCGTGACGACCCTCCTGACTCCTATCTTCTACGCACCGGTCATGGCGGAAGCTTTGCACCCCTTTCAAGCATCAATGAAGCTGGTTGTCCAAGCGCCGGATCCCATTCATTCCCCGACACCTTACAATGGGACGGCTTCACTGCCGACTATGACCCGGGATTTCTCGGCATGGCCCTCAACACGGGAACATATGTTGCCGAAGATGAACAAGTCGGTCTCGTTGCTTACGGCGGAGAGCTTTCGATCGATGGATCGAAAGTGACGGTTGAACCTCGCGACCCTGTCAGAAAGAGGGTCTTCATTGGTCCGCTGGCTGTTTTGATCACGGTTGATGCGGGTGTCATTGAGCAGTTTGCCTGTGATGTCAACACGAGATCCATCTCCATGACATTGTTGCAGCTTGTGAACGCCCCAAAGGCGATGAACGCTACTGTCTGGATGGAGTCGACAGAGGTCTCGTGGGATATCAGTGGCGATAACGTTGAGGTTGCCCGCGGCGGATGGAGAGTTCCTATGGCTCAAGATAGAGTCAACATTATGCTGTCTCCGAAATCAGTCTGAGCTAGGCGAGCCACTCTGCACCACAACTTCTATTCTCGAGGGGGACATTTCGCATCATTGGAGTTGTAGTCAGTCATAAAAAGAATTCAAGCACAATTATGACAGGTTCAAAATGCACTATGTACATCACATCCAGGACTTTGAATTTTTTGAGCTTTTATCTGAAGGCTGAATCATTCTTGAGTCCAAACTCCGAGCCATGACCCGCCCTGGTCATGCCAAGACCTATTTTCTGTTTCTCGGGCAGAGGAAAGAAATTAGGAGAAAAGTTGGACTTTGTTTGTTTCGTTCTCATTCATATGTGGGCATCATGCTGTCTTCTCACGGTTCAAATTGGTCCCAATCAACCGTCGTCCTGAAATGTTAGACACGCCGCTGGTTCCTGTCCCCTATAATCTTGCCTTGTTGCCACAACTCTCTAGACGACGTACTTCTAAGGAACACTATTTAGTATCTCCATCTTTCTTCGTGCTCTTTTCCTGCTTCACAATCCCATATTACTTCTCCGTGTTTTCCTCCACGCTCTACACGTGCTCCTTGGCAATGACGCTCTTAAAGTTGGACAAGAGAGCCTTAACGGGGGAAAACTCCTCTTCAACAGTGATCACAGTTTCAATCGATCGGTTCAGCTGATTGAAGTTGGCATTGACCTACTCAGAGCTGTTGGCGATATCTGCGATGAGCTCATCGCGTCGTTGCTCAAAGCTCTTGGACGTAAGCTCTTGGACGTTGCACCCGCTTGGGGGTATTGATAGGAGAAGGTTCGCTGTTAGCGATTGATGGCAGGTTCTCTAATAAAGGCAGTATCAGTGAGCGAATTTTGATGATAGTCACGCCAATAAGTAGGGCAGGCTCGATAGAGAAGCCCTTGAGAGGCGGTTGGAGGATCCGGGATGAAAAGAGGAAAAGAGAAAGTGTCCAGCAGTGGGCACAGTGAGGAACCTCGAAGGTAGCTCAATCCGCGGGGACGGCAGCGGCTGTCGACGGAAGTCGTGGCATTTTCCACCATGATGCGCCTGCCGCAAAAGACACGACCTTGTAAGATGAATTCACACATGGCACGGAGACCAAGTTTAACACCTAACGTCGTGTAGGTAATTGAATGAATCTTCCACCGCTTCATTCATCCAAGAGCGAGAAAGAAGATGGTGTGTTCATGATACAAATCAACTCCACCATTTGCGTTTCCCTGTCTCACATTTCACAATAGCGATGAGTTCGTCGTTTTAATGAACCGCGGTGGAGAGCCGAACTCCATCACGTACGCCGATATTAGGGCGCATTATCCCCCAACAATGCAATAGCATATCTTATTACGATAGGAGGAAAACATTATTATTTCCTTCCAGATGACTTCTCAACCTAGGCAACCTCCGAAACAGTGGTATAGACGTCACGAGTGGTCGCGACGCCTTTCAAACATGGTTAAGGTAAAGTTTCGTGATGAGCTGAAAGACATTGTCAGGTTAAGTCTTATTAACCCACCGGCCAAACATGATTTGATATTAATCATGGCTAGCTTGCAACCATTAATAGCCCCATGATGATACTCCTTTACACCTCTAGACATTAGGCAAGTTGAAAGCTGCACCCTCTCGATAAAACCAACAGGCACTTAGAATGGAAGCAGGCACTGACAAAATCATGCTTGACTACGGGGTTGGCTTTGGTGATGGGTAGAATGATCGTGAAATCTCCCTCGTTTGTTCCATAACCCATTTAGTCTTAATCTTGAAAGATAGAGAGAGAGAGAGAGAGAGAGACAAACGGTCTGAGGCATAGCGAGCCCCACATAATTTCCTTCAAACGCCGAGACAAACATATCCCGCCATTTCAGGCACCTGTCTCTGTTTCATCCCTCTTTGAACTCAGTAAACCTCTGACTCTTATTTTGAGGGACCTCTCTTTTAGTTTCGGAACAGCTTTGAGACTGAAACTTTGGAGCAGCATTTAGCCACTAACATTCTCAAGTCATGTCTCTTGCTGTTCTTTTCAGACGACACAATGTGTCTGCGAATCCTCTAGAAATCACATCGTGCAGCAACCTCTAACGTTTGACCGGAGGTGACTCATCACTTCCACCATCGTCGGAAGTTTCTATGCTAGGCATGAGAAGACATCTCATCTCAGAAATAAAGTTCCAATCGTTCTGCTCAACGCATGAATTGTCCGCAAATCTGTCGACATCAAATCGTATAAATCAGCAAGTCATTCAAAAATCAATCATGCTCATTAGTATTACACCCAAAAACTCGGCAACTTCCAATCTTCCAATGACTTCCCGGTCACCTAGATACTCTGTTCTCTCTCGGAATTGGACACCCGGATCGTCGATTCAGTTTGCGCCTCCTCCCACCACGAAGACTCATATGCAGAATGCTACGCTTCCTTTTGTGTCAAGGCTTTGCGCAACCACTCGGGTTAAACAACAGGACTTTCCCAAGCAGGCAAAGCTTCAAGCCAAGGTAATCAGATTCCATCTCGTAAAATCTTATATCCATTGATCCGTATCTAACCGTATATCACTATATCTAGCACATTCAACGTTTTCATGTCAAGCAGACTGGTGGATTTTGCGGCACGGTCCTGTTTAAGGTCTTAAGGACAATGTTTCTCATGGTCTGTGGCTCTCTTCTGACTTAGTCTCTGACAAGTTCATGTCCTCTTTCTTATGGACTTTCCACGATTTCCATCGGTGGCATCAAGGAAGATGTCAAAGATTTGGTAGCGTGTCTCATTTTCAGACTAATTTCGACGGTAATTGCTGCTTTGGAGAAGGTGTTAGAGTGTTTGTCGTGTTTTAACTAGTAATTGCGTGGTATTGGGCAAGAAAACAGCCGGGTCAGATGCTTGCTGTGAAAGATTCGCGCGATTTCCAATATACTCTTAGTCTTTGGGTTTACATAGCTTGGAATCAGCGACAAAAGTAATACATTTCTTCTACTTGACGCTGCTCAATGCTCATGGAAATCGAACATCGGGAAATCGCGGGAAATCTTTTGGAAGCTCAAGATAAGCGACGCCTCGTCTTGACTACTAAGCGACGATGAGGATCAGATCGGTGTCATATGTTCATTGCGTGTGTATTCATGTAAAATCATTTCAATGAGGTGTTCCTATTAGATCGGCTATAGCTGCTGCGGTCAAATTGTGACAGAAGTACGGCAAACACATTTCAGAATCAGGGCGAGTTCAAGATCGTAGTACGTAAAACTACTATCGACGGCTTTATGAGCTTATCTGACTTTGAACCCGTTGAAGCACTACTCAGTTTATCAAATTTGCAGAATTCTTCCCCAATTTTAGGGAATCTCATTACTCGAACTCACTCACAATGGTTGGCGATCTCAATTCAAAGCTTGTCCCGCATCTGGCGACCTTCACGGTTGACCCATGATCCCATGCTAACAGTGTTGAAGTCACTCAACAGAATCCTCGAGTCTCCAATCTCAAAGAAGAAGACCGTCCGCGTCGCCTGCCTCGCCGCTCACCTGGCAGCCGATCGAGCCAGTCACCAGACCCACTATCAGTCTCCGCTATCACCCCGCCTGCAATCCTCCGATGCCCTAAACGCGCCCTTATCAAGACAGAAGAAATCGACTTGCCCGGTGATGCAACGGTGGAGTCTGATGTCAACGACTCCCCCAGCGGCATATTGAAGAGCCGCTCGAATCTGACGATGGCGAGTGAATGTCTTCCCGCACTCTTAAATCTTTCGTAGGCCATCCCCACGCACACCGCTACAAGAAGGCAAAGACTCCATTCGATATCGAAGAAGTGATAGCCAAAAGAGAGGCTGAGCGGGAAGCGAACAGAGCAGATGCTGAGTCTTCCGAAAACATTTCGACCGAAGATGGCGTTGTCTTCTTCTCGGTCGAAGAGGCTACTCCGCCGCCAGAGCAGCTGCCCGATTATCACCCTGGCGCAGTCCCAAACTCATCTCACACTGCTCGGCCCAGATCAGCAGTCTTTCTCGCTCGCCAGAAATTCCTGAAGACAAACAACGATTGGGAGGTCGGAAAGCCACGGCCTGGGAGATTCAAAGAAGTTTTCTACGAATACAAGCCGCTGAAAGGGATGAAGCCCAGAGAATGGCCGCAGTGATCGCGCAGGGAGAGGACGTGATTTGGGGCTGACGGAGACGCTATGAGATCTTCTCTGGGTCAGGCAGAATATGGTACTGCATAAGAGCCATTTTGTCTCACGGTTCTATGGTTTGTTTCTTGATTCACTGCATTCTGTGTATTTGGACCGTTTCGTGTGCATTTGTACAAGCCTCGGGCTTAAGAATTTACAATTTGAATGGTCCGATGGTGATGACGATGTTGTATCTTCTCAAGTTTCTAATATCTGATTTGAGGAGCTAAAAGGAAACTCAACAGCTTTTGGCATCGATCAATAGGACATGAAAGACAGCGCCAGTCCTAATCTTTATTGAATCTTGAAAACGTCATCCTATACGTATAAACTAATCATGGTCTATATAGTCCCCGTAGTTCTCTGTTTAATTCCTTTGAATCTCTCTCCCTAAACGTCAATGCCGCTTCGTGTTGCCAGAAACTCCAGATGCTCTCAATTCTTTGCGTGAGAGTCCTACCCCAACCTACTCGTCTTTAAGAACCCCCTGCGATACTAAGCTGTGGCGTCGAAGAAGTACCCCCAGAGATATGTTAGTCTTTTGCATAGTGACAGATAGGAAATCTTCTGATAGTGATATAATAAATCACTCTATGACATACCTTTGGCGCCTTATACGTCTCGAGATGCCGGATGAGTTGGGGTCTCGACCTTTCGTTGCGATGCATCATGAGCTGAAAGATCACAGCCAGGATCTTGCTACTTGGGAAAGTCGGTGGAATAGGGTTGTCGACCAGCTTCATAATTACCTTGAGGGCTTCTGTGGAGGTTTCGACTTACCATTCCCAAGACGGCATCAGTGCTATCACCGAACTTGGCTTTGACGAATTCCGGCCAGCATGGAGTATCTCGTCCACACATGTTGTTCCAATGGCTGTCGTGCAACTCCTCCCATAGACCCACGTAGTAGGCAAGATCTGTGTTTGTAGGCGACCGCACAGCTCGGTAGAGCTCTTCGATAATGTCTGGAGTGTGCTTCACGTCCAGCTGACGATGCTGATGTGGTGCGTTGGACTGCATGATTGGTGGATGCCAGACTGAAACTGTGATAAGGGATCTCTAGAGACTGATAGGCGTCGCAGAGGTCTCCCAGATGGGTACGGTGATGGAAGCATAACTCATACTGGCCAAGGTTGAGTTCAATAGTTTGTTGATGGTTTTTGGTGCTGTACTGCGAGTGTTCATTTGCTCACCGGGAAGTAATTGCTTGACTTGTTGTCAAAGTAGAAAGGACACTGAGAGAGGAATGAAATCTAATCCCCGAACTAAATAGTGGCGGTTATTCTGACGCTTGCCTTACCTATGTAAAAGGAAATGGAATGGTTCAGAGAGAAGGACTTGTCGCAAAGATGACGATAAGGGCGGTAAAATCCCAGTTGAACGTGTTGAGCACGCAATTCCCAAGAAAGAATCAAGTCCAGACACCCAAATCTGAGAGAAGGTACAACCTGACGGTAGAGCCTTTTTGGGAAGGGCGGTCAACTATGGATGAGCTGATGATCCTACCACATTGACATTTCTACATGTCATCGTCACTAGTCAGTCATGAACAGAAATACCTCTTCACTGGTATCTACCTTCAATCATTGTTTTCATCGGACCGGACAGTTACTTTCTCAGGCTACCAAAACCATTGCATTTGCAGTATCATCTGTCGCTTCGAATCGAGAATTCGTGATCTTATAAGTGGACTTGCTGAGAATCTTGAAACGGGCATTATTGCCCTGTCGTAGCCTTAAAGCTGTTCATACTGACCGAATAAGTGACTTGAGTAGTGCTGGTCTTATTCAGCATCCATGCCGTGTCCATTTCTGCCGTGCTTTACTATGATCCTAAGGACCCCGTGTCTTCCAGCAGAGACCTGAAAAACTTATCCGTACCGCAATGCATCTTAATGCCTATCACGCAAGGGACTGAAGTCTCGATAGCTGCCCAACTACGATTATTCAGGAACCAATACAGTATTTGATGGAGTATGGTTTGATGGAAGATTGGGACAATCAAGCTTGGAGAGCAGACGCTCCTCGTTTATTTAGGTAATTGACATTGCAGCTGGTAGGCATATGAAACAACATGCTCCGATTTTGACATAATCACTATAGATAAGTTCTCGGCAGAGTTGATACTGGCCTAAATTTGCCTTAAGTTAAGTGGTTAGCTCAAAGTCACATCTACAAATTAGCAGCTGACAAGTGCGGTACATGGCAGAAGCAGCTGGAGCCAGAACGTGACACAAATTCTCCGTCGTGCACCAAGATAAATGACAAGAACTCCGTCATCTACGCGTCAGAAACTAGTTCAACACGGTCAAAGAAGATTCCAGGCACATTCAGGCTTCTCGCCTAATGTCTGGGCTTCCCAACTTGCTCCTCGGTCGCCATACAAGTAACACATTATTGTAGTGCAGACCCGATTGGTGCAAAGTGGCCTAATGCATATTAGGCTTTTGTTAATTGTATCAATAACGAGAGAAACAGGCTTAGTTTCGGTGAAAAGACTGCGGTCACTATGAACTCGGTCATATTTAGTCAGTGAGTGACGCTCAGGTTGGCCGACATAGTAATGAAGGTCCCGAAGGCTTTTCCCGGCCGTCGACAGGATTTCCTATCTAGAATAAAGCGCATCAGGCTTGACCAAGAATCGTCGTCATCACGACTGCAGGGATTGGATTAAATGACGGAGAAACTTAAGGTCTAGATCCATTGTTGATTTCACAAGCAACTCAAATGAATACACCGAAGCTCCTGGAGCGGCCGTGGCCGGCTTGAGCGGACGTCGAGATAACGTTGCAGTAGCGTTTGGTGCTGGCTTCTGCGCCACATTGAGAAAGCAAGAATGCCGCCGCTAAACCTTTCCAACGTTGATCAGTAGTATGCTAAGCCGTGGCTCGACTTACATCATAAGCAGGTAGAAAGAAACCTCATTACAGCCGGCATAACTATCGGCACACCACGATCAAGTTTTCCACCAATGGCGACTCTGCTTACCAATACGGCGTGAAGCTGAACAATTGGATCTCGGCAGAACATCTCTTTTTTGGAAGGGTATGAGTCCAAATTCGCGACCTTGGGGCGGGTGGTGATTGAGATCACCTCGAAGATTAACCAGATCACAGCACGCAAGTTGTTCGTTGAGTGGCAGAGAAGAGCCATAAACGACTGAGGCCCCGTGTAAGTAAATGATTTGTTACATGCAAGGACCACTAGCAGTAAGCACTCATATGTGCATCCTCTCTTTGAAGCGAGAAACAACATTCATTTCTTTGCATAGCACCCAGAAATAGTCTCGGCCGGATGGTGTGAAAAGCGGGAGCGAGAGATTCTTCCCGATCACCGGTATCTGTATCATGCTAATCACGCCTGGATGTGCGTCTCTTTAAATCAGTGTTAGGTCCTAGTTCTGAATGTGCTCCCGTGAATTGAGTATCAGAGGACCACAGCCTGATGTTACTGGATTGATGCGTAGAGCGTATCTGAATCAGTGTTTGTGGAATGGCTGTGCCGGGGGACTGATGGCAGGGCGGGCATACTCTTTCCCTTGGTGATGGGTTCACTGAGCCGTCGTGAAGAGGTCTATCACAAATATACGAACCGTCGACGAACAAATGTCCATGATCCAATGACATATGACCACACACCATCATCCTGACTACCCACAAAAGAACAACAAAATGGTCTCAGATTGACATTGGCCCCGTCTGAAGCACGCATACGTAACTTGGTGTTCCTTTGATACCTCTGGAAACGTCGCGTGGCTGCACGCTCGCTCTCTGCGTGCCAATCGCTCGTAGGTGAATAGAAGGCAGCACCGCACCGCCCTTCATCTCCCTAAGTAGCCAACGATAACCTGCATCGTATGACTCAAGCCCTATAGCACCATTTAAGATGTTCGTTGGAGGACTAATACACCACCCCGTCCGCTAGTCGCTGCACGGTGCCTATTGGCAAGGTTCGGAATTTGGTCTGCACCTTGGGATGCGGCCCTTGTCCCCAGCGGTTCACTGAACGCAATTTTAACAAGCAAAATAACCAACACTAGAAGTCTGGCCCTTAATCAATTCAATTTCGAGGCTACAGTTAGTCAATTAAGTTATAACTTAATTACATTGGGTATTATATGATGAATTACATAACAAAGCAATAAAATAACTAATTATATTTTAGAGTAAGTCTTTCCCAGAAACGTCGTATGAATTTTACTAGGTTACAAAACGGTTAGAATTTGCTCAATTAAATTAACTAATTTACTGGACTTAGTAGAGTTAAGTAATTCAATTAACTTCCAGCTTTAGGCCTTAAGTGGCGTTTTCTCCTACCCTTGCAGTGTAGGCAGGCAGAGAAGTGGCACCCAACTATGCCAGCCATTGAAGATCAATACGTTCACGCTGGCAGCATTGACCCAGGTCTGAATGTTCCACACTGCTAGCCATGGCCTGATCTCTACCGTCACGAAGTGCCTCAACGTTGCCATGGCTTCATCACTGTCGGTGTGAGTGCTTCTTTCCTACGTTGGCCGTGCAGGTGCTCCTGGTGGCCCGAGTGAAAAAGATAGTGCTGCGAGGATCCACTACACTGTTCTAGTTGATCTGTTCGCAAGATTGTTCGGGGATTTCATCCGCTGAGAATAGGCCGTCGGGTATGCTGTCATGCTGCATAACCCCCGGGCGTTTCCCCCCAAGCTGACAGTTACTCGCAAACGGCTCCCTGCTTTTCTTCATCTTCCGTAGGTGTGAATGTCCTCGTGTCTGATTGTCAGACGATTTTGTCGTGAACCGATCGAAATCGTAAGACTCTTCGTTTGCGCCGGCATGACCTGCACCGGTTCTTGCGGGCTAGCTGCTTGGTTTCATGTACGTCTTTTGGGTAATACATCATTGCCTCGTCCTAAGTGTGAGGGAGCCCTCCCTTGAACTCCAGTAGTCAGTCCATGTCTGCGATCTAATGTTTGGTTTGTCCAAGTGTTCCAGTGTCTCGCGGCTGCTTCAATTTGCTACATGGCATCTCCGACCGCCATGCCGCGTCGGAAACCGACTCGGACGGTTCAACAGGTGTCCGCGGCGATGACTAGAAGTTGAAAGGCTTCACCTCCGTCGGAGATGTGACTTTCAAACACGCAGAACGCATCGAACACATGAGCGGGGAAGATGAGGCATCGTGGATATGTCTTCGAGATGGCCAAGTGACGGCGAGTGTTCGTTGCCCGAAGGGACTACTTCTGCGGGATTTTTGGTTTCAAATTGACAAACGGCAACAGTGTAAGAATGCATGGTAACCCAGCCGTTGGTGGTTCCTAGAATCGTCCAGGAAATTGCGGCTTGTCGCGTCGGTAGAGACGGTTCCTTCTCGAGGAGTGCTCTTCACTATGCTGCTCAATATCTCCTATGGCGCAGGTGAGCGATGGGGCAAACGCCTCGCGATGCAATGGGTGAGGTTGATGGAAAGGTGTAGAATTTACACTATGAGGTCAGATGACAGAAGAGATGGCGAAGGGCAAAGTGTCCGTGTCTACGGATACCCACCCCGATTTGAGGTCACAAGAAGTCAATATACTCCATGCAGGGTCCAGGCAAGGGATCTAGAAGGTGTCAAGGAGTGGTACCTGATAGGGCTGCATGGCTTGGAAGTTGGCAATGCGGGGAGGTATTGGGGCCAAGACCTGCCAGCCCAAGGACAAGCCCAAGACCTAGCCCAAAGAGCCGGACCCAAATTCGGGCATTTATTAGGTAAGCCCGCGACACGACGGCGCATTGGCTTGCTGAACTGCTCCAGCCACGGCGTGTACGGCACAGCTCACCACAGGAAGAGTTCGTCAGGACGGATTCGGTTGAGGACATTAAGGAACATAAGAAGAAAGGATTCAAATTGCTACGAAGAAGCAGCTCGGAAGAAACTTCGACCCAGGTAGTTCACTATCCTAGGAGAACAGCAGCTGACACTACTCAAGTAAGGTCTGGAAAGTCCGATAGGAAACATTACTTGCACAATGGACCCCGTCCTTTAGAGTTTTACTACCCGGGATTCCGGCAAGAACTCGTCAAAGCTCTCAAGCAGCAAGTTAGCACCAGGTACCAACAACGCAGCATCGACCTCAAGCATCGTTAATTAACTCTCAGTGATCGCTCCTTGACTGATAATTCCATCATTGAGACAGAACATTGACCAGCCATCTCTTGATAGGATCGCGATCGGGAAGAAAGCTGCACAGCACATACATACAGTTTCCGGGGACCAGATGGTTCAAATAATGAAACATACAAGTTATGCTTATTTCGAAGTTTTTAAGATTTGCGCATTTGACTTTAAAGACCGTGGCCATCAAGTGTGGTTTGTGGCCTTCGAATGTGCATTAACACCTTACTCAACTCGCTGTGCACGTGTTTTCCTTGCGAAGCTACCTCAAGTTAGCACATCGCACAATCTGACGCCACTCCTGACCAACGCACGTTTGAAGGATGTAAGAATATCTGCCGTATCTATCTTCTGTCAGTTTCTTGTGATAATTGTGTCGTGAAACTGACTACGTGCTCATATAGTGCCGTTCGCTTCATTTTTTCCTCTTTTTTCCTCCTTTTCTCCCGTTTTTTCTTTTGGCACATCTGGATGTTCACGGCGATCCACCCTTCGGAGGTTCGATGAGCAGCTCAGGGCTCGCTCAAGCCACCTTCCGGCTCCGCCTCCACTAACTCGCTTCCGTTCCGCCCGCCTCTGGCCCGAGTTTCCTAGCCAAGGTTTTCGAGTTGTTTTGTCTACATTATCTCACTTCGCCGCCAGATGCGATGTTCGACCAAAGGCTTGTGAACCACCATCACTGAGGGCAGATTCAAACGCTCATTGTCTGTAGACTGTAGGACCGTCAGTCAGCGCCTTGGGACAATCGAGCCTGAATTCCATATCGAGCAAAGAAAGGAAACCCTGCTTGCAGTCATGAACAATAAGCGTGCATTGGTCAATGTCACTGTTGGGCCGCATAGTTTCCGCAGGGGCCAAGAGCTGTCGCACCCTAGCTCATCCCTTGACCTGAACATAGATTCGTGACATTGCCACGCAGGACCGGACCGCGACAGGTAAGAGATGTCAATCGAAGTAACCAAAGACCGAGCGTTACAAAATGAACTTCTGCGGATTCTTTCTGGGCACTGGTCGAGGGTTTCTATCGACGGAAACGTACGTATCACAGCTCACAATGATCAGGTCTCCTCTCAAGTCTCGGCAGCATTGTGGCAAAGACGAAATTGACCTCATGTTTTCGATTTCTCATCACACCAACCCAGAGAACTTTGGTAGTATTAGGCTCCCAAGTGCTTCTCATCTCTGTCAGATGAGACTATTAGGCGACGGCTATTGATGAGGGGATAGAGCAGTTTCTTCAATCACAATGGGCATCCTGAAGCAGGCGGATCGGCCGGAACCATGGAGACATCACCGTCACAACGTAAGAGAGACTATCGCTACGATGTAACCGTGATGTTGGAATTAGTCCAGCCTCGACCAGAACTCAAGACCATCACCTTCAGAATGTCTCATAGAACGTATGAGCCACTCTTTTAGCATGTCGGTGACCGATCATTTTGTATGCCGATGCAACGTCCGAATGCCCAATAGTTCGGCTGGCCATAGTTCAGGGGCCGTGTTGCACGCGCAAGGCTGGTATGCCAAAGCTAATTGTGAAACGGCGCGAATCCCAAAATGGGCTAATGCACACATTGGTATAAACTTTGTGTGGAACTCCTCGAAACAAATACTGGAGTCTAACTCATGGCGGATTGTCTTGTTGGGAAAGATAGTCAAGAGCCTTAACCCCAATTCCTGCCATTTAGATAAATGGGTTTCCTTCTCGCCTGACATATCAACCGCTTCCGTAGCCGCTTCCAGGGAAGATGTCTGTTTCTTGGAAGGGCTAGACTCCGCATGCTGACAACACACTTTACTTCGTCATCTTGTAGACCAACCTCTTCAGAACATTGTTTTGTTTCTACAAGCTGGATCAGAGTGTCTACGACAATGGACAGCGCCCACGACGAAACTCCTTTGCTAAATCGACAGCCAGCTGCACTGGGCATCATCATTGTGTTCCTGGTAAGCAACCCTTGCCAATGTCCGTCCTTGTCGACAATTTCTTGCAATAGAAGACTGTTTGCATGTTGACACGGGAATCTGACGCTTGTCTATAGATTCTCGCATACGTGTGTGGGTTAGCCCGCCTGTATATCCGGTTCTGCGTGGTTCATCGACCTGGCTGGGACGATGTATTCCTTATAGTAGTTTTGGTGAGTTATGATTATGACCTTCGGGGAGCCTAATCCCTCTAGCTCCGGCATGCTGACTTGTCTGTCATCTCTCTTCTTACTCAGATGACAACCGCTTTGTTGTCTCTGGCAACGTGTATAGGTAAGTCCAGTTGGCCCCTAAAGTGAGGTGACGATGTGATCTAACCAGTTTTGAAGCTCTTATCAATGGCCTGGGTAAACATTTTGCGGGTCTTGGCCTGATTGGTATGGAGGCATTCATAAAGGTTGGTCTTGAGCAAAATACATGAAGCGCGGCTACTGACATGCGGTAGACATTCTACATTTGCAATGCTGCCTACTGCATGGCCACGACTTTTATCAAATTAGCCTTGCTATCTCAGTATCTGACGATGTTTGAGTTCGGATCACTGTCTTTCAGACTGACCATGATTGTCGCCGTCGTAACGGCCATGTGGGGCTTGGCGTACTCAACCATCGCCTGGTTTCCTTGCGACCCTGTCTCGTCCCAATGGATTCTTACGCAGCCGGCCACAGCGCGTTGGGGATTCGGTTCTGCAGACCTGGGAGTATACCGGAGGACTTACGTGAGCCACGTTGCAACGAATATGGTCCTTGATGTGTTGGTGTGCGTTCTACCGCTTTCTTGGGCTTGGCGGCATGCGGCTCAAAAGAGGTCCATCTACGGAATCGTTTTCCTGTTCGTCCTCGGCGACATGTAAGTCCTCAGAGAAGAGATAAGCTTAGAAGTCAGCTTGCGTTGCGCGGATGTGGCTGATCATATCGATAGTGTTGTCGCCATTGGCGTTAGTCGCCTCGTCTCCATCGCAAATACGGCTGCAGGCACATACCCTACGCTCGACCCGTCCTGGTATGGCTGTGTGCCTGCTGTGCTTGCAACGGTTGAAGTGAACCTGGCAACAGTTTGCGCTTCTATCCCGATTGTCTGGCCAGTCACACAGAGGGCCTTGAGCAAAATCTGGGTCACAAGAGAGTTCGAGGTTATTTCAGAACCTCGGGATTTCCGTCTGAAGTCCACCGCGTCATCTTACGACGGCGACTTTTCAGATAGAATGCCAACCGCATCAATCAGCAGCGGGCCGACACGTTCGACGGCAGTCCAGGCAACGCCAAGCGGTTGACGAAAAGAGGCGTTTTGAAGTGTACAATGTTGGACGGATAGTGATACCCAAGGTCTGGAATTTAAGCATAGGAGAAGTGGTACATTCAGGCTTTTAGAGCAGATTAAATCCGTTGGGCAGACGATACTTGTCCATGCGTGTGCCAAAGTCATAATACATGGATCATCCTCACCGATGAGACCATGCTCGAGTGCGTGCTACCTGAGCCTACAGAAGTTCATTACTCGATTGTCGGCGATGTGATTCAAGAGAACCTCGGAACTGTTTGCGTTGATGAATTCAGCTCAGGTGACTGAGACACCTTGTGAATATGGTCGACAACCCAGTGCACGAGAGGTGGTCTTGGCCATTTCAAGGCGTGAAGATGAATGAATTTAAGAGACGCCGCCCAAGGCTGTAGACCACTCGAATGGTTCATGGTTCCTGGCGAAAGATTCCGATCCGAATCCAGAATCCGGTTCCCGAAAGTTACTGGCCCTTGATTCCGGTGGCATCAACCCGGCTTCCGGTCAGTAACTCATTAGGTATGGAGCGTGTGCCAGAGACAGTGACTTTCACTTTTTTGGCCTGTCAGACTGTTCAAGACTGGAAAATCCGGGAAAAAGGATGTTTCCAGCTGAAGAGTGATGACCACTTTGCTTGCGCGAGGGCGCTGCTATACCCGTCTTCCGCCGCAATGAGTAGCACCTCTTTGGTAACAGTTCTCACTTCTTCTCTCGCCGTTCAGCTCTGGGTCGTCCTCTAAACTTGGTTCTAGGATTGGTTTTATGTTATTTCGCATCTTGAGCAGCTTCCAGATGGGTTAGGTCGATGGGTCATACATGACGCACAACAGAACAAAACATGTACAGAATGGGCCGGTCAAATCGTTACAAAAGATTCAATCTAGTATGAGCGCTTGCTTGCTGAAATGAGGTTCGGAACGACTCCGATACCAGTATTGAATGAAGGGTTACGGAGTACAGGAAATTGAGTGGTACTGCCGTAGACGCTAACATTCCCCATTCCCACATCCGTAGTGACCCAGATCTGCCGAGCTTACCCCCCTGCCTACTCATACCTTACTTTCATGCCTCCCCTCGCTGACCCATCGCCTGGATTACCGGGCCTTTGTTGCGCTGGCAGGTTAATTCGGTGCTATAAGATTGGGACGTGGTGACACTCATAGCGGCTATAACAGGTATAGCGCACTGAAATTGAGGTTCTACTTTTACTCCCTACCTTACAGAGTTCTGTGGCATGGTGATGCATTTTGCGAACATCTAGGAGAACGGATTTAGCAAGCTACATAGTATTAAATCCGAACTCATCCTATTATTAATGCGAAGTTGCTATTTTCTTAGTGACCATAAGGCAGAGTCGCTATTTTCTTAACGTGCCCGGTCGGCAGGACCACGTGCCGCCTCTCCTTTTGGGAGGGGTGTGGCGGGAGATATGTGGCGCGGTGGCTAAGGCCTAGTCAGCAAGGTAGGTCCGTGAGCCCCGGCGTGCTCAACTTGACGCGTTGAGACATGACAGCGCGTCAAGTGATTCTCCTCCCTACAACAACTCACCCAACATCTCCTATTTATCTTCGTAACACAGCAATCGTCAAAATGTCCGGTACCGCAGCAGACGCCCAGCAGGCAAAGATAGCCCGAGCCGCGCACGCGCGTGCTGTTAGAGTCGCCAACAAGGAGAAGAGGGAGAAGCTTAAAGCAGCCAGAGTCGCACGCATGGCGCGTGCTCGCGCCGCAAAGAAAGCTTGAGGTTGGTTTGAATGATGTAAAGCTGGGAATGTTTAGCTGACTTCACTCGTAGTGATACCACGATTGCGTTGCCCGCTGGGAATGGTGGGTCGTTGCGCCAATCGGAATGGGGTTTGTGATGGATATCACCACAGAGAACTTGGACTGTTTGGTGGATGATTATCCTTGTACTTCTAGGGGGCGTGTTGGGACTCGGAAGGGGGCGGAAGCGACTGAAATTTGGCTTGCAAGACCATAGCAAACAATTCTGCGGGAAATTCATGATCTAAATTCCGTGTAATTCATCGGCAAACCATGCCCGGTGCCACGACAGTCTCCAGCATTCAAATCAGAGACGTCTGACGATGGCCTGAAGCAAACGCATCGTACCCATGGACATGTACTCGCAATCCAAAAGCAGCAAAGGCGCCATAACAGAAATAGCATCTTTTGTTGGCGCCGCTGTTTTGAACTCATCGCCAGGGGACAGATTATCACTGCGAATTTACGTACCGTGACTTTTCATCTGATGGTCTTTCTGGGAGTTCTGGATGTTCCTGTTGCTGCTTCTTTCGCTGGTGGATCTTCTTCTCCCAGCTCCGACTTAGTGGCAGTGGCCAAGCCGCTGAGGACCTGGAGACTGTCGACGCTTCGTTCTTTCCAAAACTAGTACAATTTAAATATCTGATTGAGAAATTTGACGGCTTTTTCCGATTGCAGATGTGTTCGCAAATTGGTAAAATTGTGTAAGCGATCATAGACATCCGGATTGATGCGGTCCTGTGGCATGGGACAGCGGCCACACGCGTGCAGCTGACCTGTCCACGTTTAGATAATTAGTGGGGTGGCTAGGGCACCCAATTTGGATTGCCAATCAGGTGCTTGCAATGACATTAATTGATTTCTTTAACCTGGGTCTTACGCACCGCTGCAGCACGCACGCCATGCAAAGATCCGATGGTCAAATAACAAGAGGAAGATCGAACCATATCTAAGCGATTGATATAACTGCTGATAAGTCCTTGGTTCCATTAGCGGCGACAAGCATTCTGCGGAATGCATTTCGGTTTCAGCTTCTGATTGCAGCTTGCAGCAGAGAACAACCACACCATGCTAGCCATAAGTCGAACAATATTGTCAGTAGAAATCAGGTCATCAGCCAGCCAAGCTCCTTTGTCTCCCCTCACTGAACAGGGAATTACGGGAGTATGGAAAGGCCAATGCGCCCCTCCCGGGGACCTCTCATTATCATAATCTTCATCGCCAAGGAAGAGTCAACTCTTTTGAGAGCACTGCCGTCTTCATCATCATGGAAGTGGCTTGACAAGAGTTTCAGCCCCATCAGAATCGACTCCCATTTTCAGGATGACTGGACGTCTTAATGTGATCATGAATTCCAAATGGCCAAGTGAGTCGTGCCTCAGCGTGAATGCCCCATCTTGTTTGGGAGAAGCCCCCATCAACTAAGCGTTAGCTAAACGACGCTTATTGTGGATATGAGGGATCTCATGAACACGTATAAAAATAAAGTCATCGGAGAAGAGTTCCAACATCCTTCTTTCTCTCTGAAAGTGGTAGCAAATGATTTTCTCGGCCCCAAGCTGCCTATCATACTTCAAGTTGCAGCGAGAGTAGTCAAGAATCGATGCGTTATTCTTTGAAGCCCTCCAGGGCCCCAGAAGCTGCGAAACAGCTCTGAACGAAGAGTAATACCAGTCTCAGTCACATCATGAATGAAGCAGTCTTATCTCTTCGATACCTGCACCCTTGAGCCCAGGAAGGCTAAGTCTCTTGCGTTTGACCATAAAAGACACCGATTAGATGTCTTTAGCTTCAGACAATAACCAACTACGTGCTTCCAGAAATGTCAGTGTTGTCGGTCACCGGCCTTTCTTTACATGTCCCGTAAGAGCTTCTCCCTATCTACCACAACATCTTGGCTCCTTAACTTTTCAGTCACTGAATCAATCAAACCATTTCAATCATGGCCGGGAAGAAAGTCTACCTTCAATGAGCGCTGCCGCCAGATCCAAAGGCTGCGGCAAACCGTTGAACCAAGCTCAGAGCATGCAGCAATGAATGAGTGCCTTCTTGATCGGGACGACTGGGATGCTATCCCCAGCTGTACGCGCTCTTACGAGACCGAAATCACCGAGAAAGGTACTGTTCCCGAGGAGTGGCTTACTCCTGGAAATTACAGCCTGCTCGGCACGTGCTTTTTCAATTATAATTAGACACGAAAACATCAGGTTGTTATAGGTTGTAATGGATTCCCCGCTAGGTCAATGACCGCAACTGGATCAAAGCCACCGAACGCAAGATGAACGGCAAGAAGAAAATCTCCGACAGGAAGAGTTACGCCGGGAAAGAGGGCGCGCCAGAGAGAGGAGTTTGAGCAAGGAGACGAATTACTCCAGCGAGAAGAGCAGTTGGAAAAAGAAGAGTATCATCTGCGAGAATAGTCGTACCAGCGGGAAGAGATACTCCAACAAGAAGATCAGCGTAGGCACGAACAAAAATGTCGACGAGAAGATCAGCAGCTGTATGAGTCACAACATAAACAAGAACAGAGAGTGATCCCCGCATACGTAGCCGGTGTTCCAGATATCGATTTAGCGCAGCTCAGAGCGATGCTCATCCTAAGACTGGTATTGGCAGCTGGGGCCTCGAGAATGACGGAGGTACTATCATTTAGACGTCGTCACCGGTGTTTCAGGATCGCTTTCCATCTCACAAGCACTCTTGCTCCCTCTCGCTCGACCTTCCTCCCTCTGGAGACGTAAAGCGTAGCTAGGTTGCGGCACCCTCTAATATCTTGGCCCCGTCGCTGGCGGATGTGACTGTACTTTTCGAATATGCCAAGAAAACCGAGGGGGAGAAGAACATGGGAACCGCCGCGAAGGCCCTTGATCAACACCGTGGTGTTATGGCTCGTTTGGAGGATGCTCTCGCAGTTGCAACGACTACTTTACAAGATGCCATCCGGGTGAACAGGGCTGCTTTAATCAAATTTGCGCTCGATGAGGCGAAGGAGGTTCCGCATATTAATACGCAGAGAACGCCGCAGACACAACACGAAGTTGTCTGGTCTAGATTCGTAGAGGAGACCAATAGTGCCCGAATCGGTCTCGGTCTCGGTCTTGGGCTCCGTGGGGAAGACTCGCCTCTGCCGTCTCTTTCAGAGGCCAAGCAGATGGCGGAGGCTGCGCACGCACACCATGCCGATACTTATAGTCAGCTTTCGGCTACAAACGGCAAACTGGGTGGACTGGTCAGGGAAGTAAAAAAGCAGGAGACGATTCGGGCTTTGGAGGCGAGCTTCGCGGTGTGGCGAGGATTAGAAGATATGCCATGAGCTTTACTTCTTTCATTTCACCATGGTTTTCTGTACAAGAACTTGGTCACAGCGAGGTGGGTAGACGCCTGAGTATACTTAGATATGCTGAGCCTCTTGGGGTTTTACTCGCGCGCGAATGCAAGACACAACGTTCTCATAGGGCAGATCCATGTTACGCGAATTACACCAAAGCCCACAGACTTTTGATGGATCATGGATGGAACCACCGGCACGGCCCGGTCCGCCTCTCTCTCCAAAGTCTCGCGTGACATTCACATGGCATCCCTGCGTAGTCAAAGTCATGAACATAATGTATGATGATGCTTTCGACGTGTAGCCTTTCAGTGTCACCATTTACGAATATCACTGTGAGTCCCGTGTTCTAAGGTTTCGTGTCTCGATGTCTGCTTAGGCTGGGCGAGAGAGGCGATGCTGTCCTTCTGGATGCACGCTCTAGATTCAGTGGGCGGGCGCTGTGATGTGCCTTAAATGCAGCTGGTGTGACTGGTGATATCCTCTGGGCCATGCGAGCTGGGCCGAGGGGAGCCTGTGAGATTGGGTTGTTGGAAAGGCCTTAGGTGGCGGTAGGTGCCTATCCTGCGCGAAGCCGCTAAAAATGCGGTGACTTTGTGTAAAGTCGCCAATGTTTCGGTGACTTTCTCTGGACTTCAAGACAACAACAAAGGCAAAGAATCACTTGTATAGACAACATGGTTGTGTTCAAGTCTGTATCGGGGTGAGAAACAATTGCTCTGAGTGTCGTGCGTTGATATGGTTTTCAGAGTGCGCTGAGAAACTACCGGTAGGCGCTTGTGAACTTTGACTTCCAGGGCCAGGCTGAGGCAAACTGCGCTAACGCCGCTACGACTGGTGCTAAGGGAGTCTTCACCTACAGCGACCTGACGCTAATCATTCCTCAAGTCTCGGGGCCAAGACAAGTATCCATGCCTTGCCTTGGAGGATCGCGTGTGACTTCAATCTGAGAAAGACACGCCTGGAAAATTTTAGGGTTATTCATTTCCGCAAAATATACACAGCAGGAGGCACCTAGGCACCCCGAGACCGAGGTGCTCGCCCTACCACGGCCGGGTGGAAGGTGCCCTGGAAATGAGTGTGCAGTTCAGCTTAGGAGTTGGAACTGATTGGAACATGACTGGGTGGATAGGAAAGTACAACATAGAAATCAAGGAGCCATGGAGTCAAGGGACGGAGGTACCTATCTACATAGCTTGCTTAGGCTGCTAGGAAGTCTAGGGCCTTACGGGTGCTACTGTTTAGATGCATGACCATGCTGCATGGTGCAACAGGATTGTACATATAACACACTTAGCTTCAAAAGTGCGAGCCGGGAGGTGTGTCAGGGTGAGGCACCTGCGGGCCTGGTATATACCTGTGCCGCTGCTCCGGGTGGGTCTTCCGGGTGGGTATCCGGCGTGCCCGGGCTCAACACGGGCTGCTCAATTCGGGGCCGCCCATGACTCAGCATCTAAACGTCGCTATCTCCCCAACTACCTTGATCCTTCCAAGTTCAGGTCTTCGTCTCTTTGCAGCGTTCCTGCGCTACGCGATTGGGCTGCCATGCTTGCGGCTTACACCTTCGCTCTTTTGCAACTTACATCAGCCACTCAACTTCCTTTAGACTTAAGGAACGTAAAACGACCTGAGCTCACCTTCCACTGACCTCATGTATTGTACTTCCATTGATCGTAATGCGCCTTCTCGCTCAGGCTACCGACGAGTTGCACTTGCAGGATTCTGCCAGGTATGTATCGCACCCTCTATGCGCCTTTCATGGCATCTGTTCCCCTTTCGTGATTTTTGTTTACTGACGTTTGACCTTCACACGCACGCCACCATCGTCGCCTGTTTTTTACAGATCGTTTTCGCTCGCTTTTGTTCCTTTTTGTCTTTCTTGGTAACCAGTCCTCTCGTTTCGACACCAGATCCTTCGTTTATCAGCCTCCTCGAGCCTCCCATCAATCGCCAATCACTCCTCATCACCACGTCTACCTCTCGCCCACGCTGCCGTATCGAAGCCGAACGAGACGTTCGGATTTCCCTCGCTCCCTTGCGCCAGGCCAGCACCATCTACGCCAACGTCCAGATCGCAGGGCAGTCGGTGCCCGAAATCTGGGAGACGCTTCGGCGTCAGTTCTGGAAACACGCGTGGCGGGCGCACATCTCCCGGTCCCAAGATTCGAAGCAGCAGGCAGAAGAGGACCCGCGTAATTGGGGTGGGGTTCCTCCGAAAGGAGTTTCAGCCCCAGGATCTTGATTTTGTTATGCTAGCAGTGCATCGGGAACATACCCACGCCATGAGGACCCAACCTGCTAAGGAGGTGAGGCGGCGCTACACCGCGTTCCGCGGCAAGGGCCTGGGCCTCAACGAAGAAGAGCTCTTTTTTGAGCGCAGTCCCCTCGTGCTTCAGTCTGTCCAGGCACTCCGGCAGCTGAATACCCTCCTTTCCCCGCGCAGTGCCTTGGGCCAGCGCAACGAGGCGCGTGAGGTTTTTGCTCTCGTCCGAGAGCAAATGCTGCTCCGGCATGACGACCCAGTCGAGCCGCGCCCGTCATCACCATCCCCGACGTCGCCAAGGTCTTCCACAGTATGCTGCTTCCTTGGACAGTCCCTTAGCCCCTGGAATGTTGCTAACATAGAACTAGTGCTCCAAGCCCGTCACGTTTCCGCTACGCCCCAGCCCCCGACGCCCACACCCGTTGCGCCTGACCCTGATGCTCCAGATACCATCCCCGATGCTCCGGACCCTACTCTTCCTCCTCCAGACCGACCTGAGGACCCTCCCCTTCTCACCCCACTTGCTTCCCTCCCCGAGGCTCCCGCTCACAAACGCCCCGCCTCGCCTCTCGCATCCGCCTCCGCACCTGCACCCCCTCCCAAGCGCCGTCGTTTCGCTGATGAGGATGAGGACGCCCACTATGCACCTCCAGGCTCCTCCCAGCAGCAGCCCCAGCCCTGGCTCATGCCCCCCGGCTGGAAGCCCCAAACCAGTTCCATCTGGAACCACCCGCCCTCGCCTCAGCCGTAAGAGCAGCAGGACCAGCAGATCGATGGTGCTGCGGACACTGAGCTTGGCAGGCCGCACCCCCGCCTCCTGAGCCCATCGCTGCTATGCCAGCATCTGTGTCCCTAGCATTTGCGCCCGCGCCCGCAGTCTTGCCCGCGCACGAAAACCTGTTGCCCGCCGCAGCTGTGCGCGCACGTCCTATCCTGCCTGCTGTCGTGCTCTCAGAGGAAGAGGAGTGGGCCGACACCATCCGCCGCATCAAGGCGATGCCAGTCCCTCAGGGGTCGATGATATGGTGCTCAAGCGTCGATACTCTGGTCCAGGCTGCCAACACGGTCGGCCTCTGGGTTGAGGACATCTTCGACGAGAATGCGCTGGCTTGGGGGGTGTTTGGTCTGTCCGTTTGGTGTTGTTGGGCTGTCGTGTTTATTTTTGGCCGATTCTGGTTCCGTGTCTTGTTTCGTTTCCGGTTTCGTTCCCGTTTTTTTCTTTGGCCCTTTGCCCTAGTTCTCGTTTTTTTGCTTCTCGGTCTTATTTTATTTTTCGTTTCTCTTTTGTTCCCAGCTGGTTTGTGTTTTTCTCTGCCAAAAAGGGGGCTCGACGATCATGACTTGTCACTGGTGTTTCACTTGGTATCTTCAGTGCTGTGTTTTTGCTCGTCATAACTTTTCATCTCTCTCCGATTCCTCTACCAGCACAGTCTCTATTCTAAGGATTCCTTGGATTGGCTTTCGTTTGGGCTTTCACTCATGGACCCATCATCACCGGTGGTGTACGTCTGACCTCCCATCTCTCCTGTTCGCCATGCCGTCAGTCTGAGTTTTGTCTTGACGTGGATTTCCGTGTCTCCAATTCTGCCATTCTTTTCTCTTCTGGTCTCTCATTTTGTCGTTGCTAATCTCTTGTGTCGCCCTACAGGACTTCAACTTCTGGTCATATGTAATGAGCAAACAGACGCCCACACTTAGACAGCCTTATGACGTGGACGCACTACATTCTTTTCTTGGGACACGATCAAATTCCTCTTGACGTACTTATGCTTACCTTACACTAAACAGAGAATGGCGACTCGAGGCATGCCAAATCCGTCTCCGACACAGTAAGTATCACTGAGACATCAGTCTGCAAAGGTCATATGTCCATGACATCTATGGTAAGTTAGAAGATCGGGGTTTGTGCTCAACCTCCCTGCCGGCTGCCTCTTACAGTATGCCGCCTGATGACTTGGAAGATGCCGATGCTACCGGACCTTCATCATTGCTGAATGCATGCTTCTTTCTTCAGACCGTAGATCGCGCTCAATACAACTATTTTTCTAGTACTTATATGCAAGCTAGTTGAGAGGGCTATTTTGGCCAGAATCATGGGCCGGGACTTTAATTATCTTGCCAAAATTTGGTATTCAATTACTATTAAATGGCTATAACGACGCTCCCTTAGTAGTACTTCACCTTCCCATTCACATCAAGCCTTTCAGTTTGGGTTTCATCGTCTAGCACTAGACACACGTGACGAAACCGGTCGCCTCTAGCTCTCAATCTCTTTTGCCATAACTTGGGGGAGCTTACGCCTGCACCGATGTCCGCGAGCTCTTCGGCGTTGGGCGGTGACAATCTAAGGGCTAGGATGAAGAGCTCATGTAGACGCGACGAAGGCTCGATACCTTGGACCCAAAATCGTTGTTCCCGTCCTAAAAGCTGTAGGAAATGGGCCGATTCAACTGTCAGAGCATATAGACACACCACTCCGATGTAGATGTACATAATGGCTCTTGCAAAGGTCAGAGTCTTTCGAGGATGGCCGGTTCCGAATCCGAATCTTTCGACGTCAAAGTCAAGGCTGAGCCGGCTAGGAAGCATCTCATTGTAGACAAAATCGAGGGTGATGTCTCTGACAGACTGTTTTGTGCCATAGTCCCACTTGGTATGGGTTTCGTTCAGCGGATGAACATTGAACAATCCATGTTGAGGATTGTACTGCCTGGTCAGATCAATACCGCTCATCTGATTTCCATCTGCCTCCAAATCCACGGTCGTCATCGCCCCCGCCCCCGTGCGAGCCAGTGTTTCGGTGAGATATACGCCGAACACAGTGGACAAAAGATACTCTGCTCCATTTGGTCCAAGCTCAGTAAGGGGCATTGCAGGGGCCTCGTCGGAATCCTCGCTCGAGCCACTGAAGAGGCGAATGAGCTTGTAAAATGCCGTAGAGTTGTTGTTCCAGTCATCGCTTATCGAGGCTGTAATATTTGGATTCACGTAGCGTAGCCAGGTTTCATTCACCGTGATAACGTGTCCGGTATCCAAGGAATTTTGGTGAAATGTTTCGTTCATGCGGTCTTTGCTGTTGAAGGCTGAGTGAAACGTGTTTCCTTCCTGCGAGGACGTCATTGAGAAGCTAGAAGGAATCAAGCTTGCTAACAAGCCACAGGTGAAGACTAAGTCACCTGCAGTAGACTTGGGATTCGACAACTTTCCAACAATCTTGATGATAGAGCTTTGATCACCGTCAATTGAATAACCTGACGTGAAAGTGGAGTTGTGTTGGATGGACCTCGTCCACCATAAATCTTCCAGCCCAGGAGGATTGAGCTTGTAGGTTTGACATTCGGGGTGTCCAAAACAGTTCAAGGCGTCCGTTGGATACGCGAGCTTCTCGTTCGTGGCCGAAACGCTGGCAATGTTGTAAACCTGGCACTTTGACTGTACGAAAGGCTGGAAGATGGGTTTGTCTTTCGAGTCGTCTTCCGTGTCGTTATAGTCAACAAGTCGAGCCTTCAAATTGTACCGAGAGCTATGAGATAAAACACCAACATCGTTGTCCTCAACAAGCTGCTGGAAAAGACCCAGTATGGACAGAAGAAAATGAGAGGGCGTAGTTGAGAGTGATGTTTTCCGAAAGCCGGCCGTGGTGTGCACCAAATCTCGTCGAAGATCAGCCGAAGGGAGCTGAAATGTAAGGTTGTATTGTAAATAAGTCGATCGGAAGCTGTATGCCCAATTCCAGATCTCCGTAAATCCACTGGCTGGGCACCATGATTGAACAACTCCTTCGGTCTTCGAGCAGACCTCTGATATGATGGTGCTATCATTCAATATCTGAGGCCAAACCTCCGCCGGGCTGTGGTCATACAGAAATGGGCGTTGTGATCTCGCTGAATGCGCTCGCGTGGTCCAATGGAAATCTCTCCAGCGTCGGAATCAGCATAAAAACGGAGACCGGACCAACAACTGTAGACATGAGTGTAGAAAACACCAAGTAACAAGCCAGCACAACTTCCACGAAAGAAAGGTGTTTGATCCCCATATGCCATAGGGGGGAGGATGGAGCTAAGATATATTCCAAATCTCCAACCCGATAGGCTCCGGTGAGAAATCCCAGCCTTACACCACCCCCAATAAGCCTGCGCCGACACATGGCCAAGAAAATAAATGATAGAGAGGCGACGATGAGTATTTCATGGAGTTTTGCTGGTAACTGGAGTAAGTTGATGACAACATCCGTGTTGATCCCTCGATCTGGAGAAGGACCCTCCAAGGCGAACCAGTATCGTTCTTCCCATCCCAGCCAGAGACCAAATGCTGTCAAAGCTAGAGCGGCTATGTGCACAGCGAGCTCAACTTTGCTGTGTTTCCAGAAGGATGTGCGCGTAATTGCTTTGGGCTTCTTGGTTTCCCCACAAGCACACCCAGTCAGCCTTCTACTAAGGCTGGGGCCAATGGGGAAGTCATTTGACAACACTGTGACAGTATCGTCACCTTTGCCGCCAAATTTGCTGCAGCGGAGCGCCGTATCATGACCCTTCTCCGGGTCATTCAGTCGCAGACCTTGCGCTTCTTCGCGTATGCAAGCCTTCCCTACTTCAGCGTCGACTGTTTGTCAAGGAGATTTTTCATGGACGGGTAGAGATTGGGTACTGTCGCGGGTAATTTCATTGGGACTAGAACAACTCTTAGATGTAATAAGTGGTTGAAGAGCACCGTTCTGATGGCTAAGCTGCGTGGAAGTATGTGTAGGTGCCATATTTATCAATCTAGGATAGAAGAGACTACGTGAGAATCTCTGTGATTTTAGATGAGCAGGTCAGTTATGAGGAGAACCTATGATTAATAGTAGTCAAAGTTGTGCCAGAAGTCAGCTTGGCAGCTTGGTCAGCCCGCAAACATACACTTTAGTTCCACCCAGCCACCCCGTACTTCTATATGTAAGGTACGTTTACTACTAACCGTGATATGTCGTCTTAGTCCTGACGCTAAGCTACAGTCGGCTTGAGATCTGGAACTTGGCTTGGCTAAGCAGTCATACATCTAATAGCTCAAAGTTTGTAGAAGGTCATTGAATGCAAGCTTGCATTGTGAAGGGCCGGCCCGCTGAGCGGGCAAAAGTGGTCACTAGCACACCTATCAATTGGGCCACGTACCAGACTTGGCGGTTCGCAACAGGTGCGTAACTACAAGTCCCCGCTGGTAGTTTGATTGCACTATATAGACAGGAGGGTCTAGCCCGTATTATGGATGCTCTAAATGGTCCGATTGACTCTGCTCGCGTTGAACATTGAGCACGGTGTCGCATTTTCCCATAAAGAATACAGCGTTAATTGATGATCATCATAGGCTCAGCTGTTAAGTCAGACTTGTCTCAATACCACACCCTTCCGGTGTATGAGACCAGCGACCCGTTCCCGTTCTAAGACATAACAAACACCAAAGAGCTCTCTCACTAGCCGTGACCAGTCAATGGTCACAGAGCCTTTCTGTTTAGCCTACAAACTAGGTATGTGTACTTTCCACAAGAACAGGCGAAAACAGAACGGCTGAAAGGAGGCTTGCGATTGCATCAAGCATTGTGGGGCAACGAGGCCACACATTCATCTGACGCATGGTAATCGACCTGACTTTTACAAATAGGCCAGACGCATTCTGAAATGGTGCCGAAAACTGATGAAAAGCCTTCCATTGCAATGAAATCAGCCAAGAACATGGCCATTGGAGTATTTCTGATCCATTATATCCACTGTACTTCTCGAATCGGGCTCTCTTCAAGCATTGTGATATCGACCGAGCAGTCTGCAGACTGGTCCTAGATGCCATGGAATGTGTTGAAATGACCCTTTGAGACCTGAGAGGTCTCTTTGAACTTCATGTCTCAATATCTGGTAATTTACCAAGTGAGCGAAGGCATTGAACTGCAATAATACCCATGAGGTCGATTTGTCCTGATACCGATATTTATACAGAGTGGGTGCGGCAAAGATAGATCCCCTCTTGCCTCAGCTGCCAAGCACCTGTATCGCGTCTGCGTTTGAAACATGATTCTCAAAATCTTTCCTACGACGAAGGTGGCGTTACAACGGAATGTAAGACATAAGACGGGCCACATGGCACTTTGATGTTCTAGCGTTGGTCGTAGCGTTCCGAACTCGGAGACATGCTTCCTAGTATCTCATGATAAATATCACGATGAAAGTCATCAGACACACCAATATAGAGCTATTATGTCCACATATATACGTTGGACGATAAGGATTAGTTCTAAGGTCTTATAGTGTACTCGGGCATGGGCGTGAAAGATCAAGAGGTCGATATTATGAGGTAGCGAGGCCACGTGCATAAGAGAGGTACTAAAGTCGGGCCTGCGTTGCGGGACTTGGATAACGGGCGTGTGACCAACAAAGTTACTACAGTTTTACTGTTTATCAGGCCGCTATTTAGTCTAGGCCGTATATGGCTTGACTTCAAGCAACAGAATTGTCGAAACGGTCCCAACCATCTGTAGCTTCACCGTCCGTCACGTAACCTCAGTTATATGATCACTGAGACCTTTACTCGCTCGCAGCGCTTATTCCGGCGCGAGTAGTTCCTACTTGTAATGTACGATTGTTCTCTACTTCACATTTCGATGCTCATATTAAAACGACGGGGGGCGGGGACGTGCTGGTCAGGCTTCCAAAAGATCTGAAGACTTTTGGCGAGAGCGTCCTCAGGGGCCGAGGTAAGGAAAAGAGCAAAGCCACCCTTGACATCGGCAAGGAATGGGTTTGGATCGCGCAAACCAGGCATAAAACGACGCAATGTGCTTCAAGAGAGAGATATTAGTTGATCGAGGCCCCGCGAGAGGGAAAGAGTCCAAAAGGGAGGAATATGAAAAGATGTAGAATAACTTACACGTTTCGAGTGATGAAACCACGTTCACCTCTCAGCGCAATCTCGAGCAGTGGATTGTGTACAGGGCCGTTTCAGCCCGAATCGTGCTCTAGCCTTGTTTTACGAACAATGGTGTTTTTGCGAGCTTCCGCAAGCCTACTATTTATGTATCGATAGAATCGTCTTTGAGGCTGCTAGGGTCGGCTCGTCGTGTGGCAGTGTCATAGAAACATCCTGGTTTAGGGCGATTAGACCAGATGGATTCATGGCTCATTGTTGCCCGAAGGATACCAAAATGTTACAATCCTTTGTTCGAAAGATTATAACATGACGGACATGAGAGGTGGGAGTCCAACGCGAACGGTACTGGGGTGAAAGATTCGTGGTCTAGTTGCCTTAAGTCAATGATCCACTTGATGGGCTGGGCTATTTCCGATATAACCCTTCGTGATGAAGGATAATCGGCATCTCCACGGAGCTCTGTTCCACGTTTAAGGGGACTCATAGAGTCGGTGCGGCCACTCAAGATGGTTGAGATCACATCGGAGGATTCGCTTATGGTATCGAATGTGAACTGGGCCAAGCTCAGAGGACAGGTGTGTGTCGCATCGACATCCACGTCTTTATGAAGCGCTTTCGGCTTGGCCGGACTCGGTGTACGAGCCATTGGAGTCTCGTGGAGACCCTGCGTTGAGGAAGAACAAAATGTTGAAACCCCCAGCTGTTGCTGACGTCTTGCAGATGCTCGATTCAATCCTCAATAAAGGACGTAAAATAATGGTAGCGGGGGCGGAGGAAATGTGGTTGTTCATGTGTACATAGTAAGGTTCCTTGGATTGATTCCCAGCCGGCCGCGAATGTCAACTGGCTTTGCCATTGGCTCGGTAACTGCATGTCACCCGTTCTTGGCGTCTCATTGCGAGGCGAAGCCGCGAAGGCGCGCACGGACTTGGACCCGAACCACTCTTTTGAGGATCACGTGTGGGTATTGGCCTTGGCACGCTGTTACATAAGATGGGTCCTTGAGGACCTTATGGTGGAGAAACTGACCGTGTCGCGTTGCATCACCAAGACGGAAACCAGCCCATCTTTCCTCATCCAACATAAAGGAAACATAACGTCCTCTATGACTCTGCACGAATACGCCAACTCCTCTTCCAACATTCAAGGAATAAAAGAACAGTCCTCGAAAACACCTGACAAAATGGCCGGCACCGAATCCGATCTTAAGAAGGCAAAGCAGGCTCGCGCCGCACACGCCCGCGAGGTCAGAGCCGCGAACAAGGCTAAGAAGGTGAAGCTCAAGGCAGCCAGGGTGGCGCTCATGGCACGCGCCCGCGCCGCAAAGAAGGCCTGATCGCCTTCCAATTCAATCATTTCTTCATGTCTATCGAGACACATATCCGACGTCGAAGATTCGACTGATCGATTGCCCGATGCTTCTGCAACTGCACAAAATACACTACTGGGTTTTGCGAAGCTGCAAGTTCAGCGCCGAAAAGGAAGCCCGGAAATGCGACACATGGAGTACAAGCGTTCTTCAAGATTCATGAAACAAACCTCCCTGCCTGATGCCCTAACTTGAAACTTAGGTGTCGTCGTTGGCAATATTTATGAGAACCTGACGCATCTGACAACATCGCTGTCGTAGTAAAGATAAATGAAGCAGGGAAACCCTACGGAGTAGGCGTGGCTTGCATCGGAGTGGTATTGCAGCACTATGGAAACACTGGAACTCAGGGCCTCACAAGCTCTCGACGCATCATGTAAACTAGTTGTGAATTCAATGATCATTTCTTCGAATCAAACTCGATTGCCCCGTCGACACGTTCCAGTGGCGGTGTAGCACGGCACCAAAAACAAACACAAGTACTTAGGTCGGCAAACGGCTCCCAGCCCCAGAAGAACAAATTGTCCCTTCCATTCCTTCCCTCTCCCTTCTCGAGCATCACCATCAAACGTGCGATTCTATAATGATCTGCAGGATCGCGCCTAGGGACTATAACTTAGATCATTCGACGTCAGCGTTGTGGCTGAAGCTGACGTCTCGTTCCTTTCTAGCAGCACCAGCGGCGGCACCATCGCGCTAGAAGCAAATTGGAATTGTTGTCAGGCTCTTGCTCAGAAGATGTTCCCTCTTCTCCAGTTCTCACAACTCTAATAATAAAGTCCGGTACAAGAGTTTTAGCTACCCCGTACATGGAGTCCTCCACAAAGCCAGCGCTGACATTGTGCAGGTGTTGGTATTCCTATCACAGGGATGGTTCGAACCGTGGGTGACGAAGAGGTCAAAATCTATATATATTTAACTTCTATATAAGGTATAAAAAAAAGGTTCTAACCGGAGGTTAGGTAGACCGTAAATTTCGTAAGTATAGTCTATAAGTGGCCCCTATATAGGCCCCTTACCTTAAGGTCAAATTAGACTTCCAATCCGATACTAACTATCTCTCTCTTTCATTATCTAACTACGGTAATTAAAAATATAATTTAATCTCGGGCTCTTTTACCAAAGCTACCCCCTTTTCCTCCTTTTTCTACTCCTTACGGATTACCTATCCCTCTATCCATATCATCACCCTTCCTTCGCTAACAAAATACTCAAGCCCCTTATTAGGCATTACCTTCGTAAAAGCATCCGCTAAATTATCATCCCCATTAATCCAACAGATCTTAAGGATCTTATAGCACTTATACGATTACCAGAGGGCCATAATATTTATTATTAGCCTCTTCTCCTTCGTAATGCCTAGTTTAACAAAGTACTTATATAGTAAATACGAATCGGTATAAACGATTATTAGTATTATAAAGATATTAAGTCGATTAATAATCCTCTTTAGCATTATTAAGATCGCATATACGATATCGATACCGTTAACCATACCATAAACCTCTAAAATAAATACACTTCATATAACCCTTTTACTCTTCATTAATAAATAATAAATAACATTACTACAAATCGTAAAGTTCTCCTCTCCTATTACCTCGTTAATAAAGATTATCACATATCCCAATTACGATATAAAGTCGTCATTATTCGCAAATAAACCGTCGACGAACATATAAAACTTCGCCTCCCTCAGGTCGATAGGTTAATACATAAGCCCCCTATCAAGGTTCACTTACTACTACTATAACTATCGGTTAAGGGCATCAAAATCGCATTCCGTCGGCAAAATAGCCTATACTACCCTCGCACAGTTAAAAATAGCCTCTAACTAACAAATACTTACAATATAAGCTCCTCATATAAACTCTACTTTATATCGCTTCTAGCAGTCGGTTACCCTTAAATCAATAAAAGTAATCTTCTCACCTTACCCTTTTTATCAAAAAACGACATTCTCGCCCTCGATCATAAGGATCCCGCCGTTAAACGCAAATAATATATCCTCTATAAAGATCTCTTTTAGCTTAACAATAAACTTTACCTTCTCCAGCTCCTTATCCTCCTTCTCCATAAAAGCCGCATCAAAAAGCCCTAATATATTATCAATCTATATTCCGATAATTCCAAATAGATCGTCTACATATACAGAAACTAAAAAACAAAGATCGTACATCGATATAATCATCAAAAGCTTATCAATATAAAAATCGTAATATATTACCCACCAATAAGTACCTAACTCTACAAAACCGTAAAATAGCTTTAACACTTCGATAATCGTATCGTCCAAGTATTTACTTACTATCTCCCTTAATAAATAAACCAATATCTTCCTTATAAGCCTTATTACCGATTAAATATATACCTAAGTAATATCACGACTCTAGATCCAGTATCCTCTTTACTATAATAATATTATTAATACCATCATTAATTATTAACTATAACGCTAAACTATTAGTAATTATATAAGTAATATTGCCTTTTCGACGTCGCTATAGCCTTATATTATATACCTTAATTTCTTATATAGTTAATTTATCCCCTTTTCTTTAATCTTACGGACTATTTATAACTTAAAAATATAGAAATTTATATACTTCTCTAAGTCGTAAATAATAAATCTATAAACCCCTCGATCGCATAATATATTAGCTTTAATAAGGTCGGAGCTTTTATACGGTCGTCTTATAATTATAATTATCCCTTATTCCCTTAGCTTAACCGCTATCACAAAGTCTACTTTCTCCTTAGCCATATAAAAGACAGCAATAACCTTAATATCAAACATAAATTACCATTAAAATACTTTTTAAGATCTTCCTTAACGTCTTACTTACAATAAGGATACTAGTTCTTCTTCTACCTCATCATCTAAAGGTACTATAACGATAATCTCGTCAAAAATAGTTTCCTACCCCTCATCACTTAACTATCCCTCATCGCTTTATTAAAATAGTTCCCCTAGCTCTTCTTCTTCTTATAAATTAAAAATCACTCTACTAAGGTCGACGTAATACGGTTATACCGTAATAATCAACACCTCTAATAATTAATCTCGATCTCTCGCAACGACACAAGATCGTTTATTAATTAAAACTAACTTATATAGGCCTATCTATTACTTTATAATTTCCTTCTATACCCATACCTCCAAATTTAAGGGTATATCGAGGTTAAAGCTTACGTCGGGCCCATTATATATAGCAATAACTTCGTTAACTTACCTTCTAGCATTTACCTTACGGAAAGTCTTTATTACTTTCTTAATTACTCGCACCCTCTAGGTCACATCTAGTAACGGCAGTAAAGCCGTCGTTATTTATAAATATACTCCAAATACAAGCAGCATCGGAACAAGCCCCTTAGGTCCTATAATATCATTATAGCACTTAAATACCGTCTAGAGGCACTCTTCATCCGTTAAACTAGGGCTCTCTTCTTAAATAATCTTAAAAGCTCTTTTCAACTACTAATATAATCTTTCTACCTTACCAATACTATAATACGCTTCAACAAAGACAACTTTTAATTAAATACCATATAAAATAGCATTCTCCCTAAATTCCGCCAACTTAAAGCTAATACTAGTATCGGTTCTAATACCGTCTAATAGACCTTAGTATATATCGATCCAACAGCGCTTCAACATTACCCACACAATCTTAGCTTATATATCTCAAAGGAATTAGCCTCCTTAAAATAATATGGCTTCATCGATTATATAAAGTACTAATCGACTATTCAAATAAAAAATATCAATAACGATTTCCTAATTAAAGTTAAAGTCATCGTATAATTTAAACTTAAATCTGCACAGGCTCTAGGCGTTCATTTAGCACTAATAACACATTATCGTCAATTACTCTAAAACCCCTATTTCTACATCGTTCCCTAAATATTTAAGGAGATTATATAATCTCGTCGCTAATAAATAGCTAAATCGTCAATATAATCGCTTAAATTCACTTTCTATCAAATAATTAATAAACTTAACATCTAGTTTAAGCTTTATAAACGCATACCCCCATCGTCGATCGACGAACTCAAAGTACTTTCCATTAAACATTCTATTCCTTATATTATCAAACACAATACCCAATTTATCCATATCATTCAGGCATAAAAAGAATAATATATTAACAGATAAAATATAAAAAATCATCGTTCCGAATCATATATTTATATCCACAGTACCTAAAGCACTTATTTCTTCCCCTAGGCCAAAACTAATCCTCACAATACCCGCATTTATAATATTAAAAATCATTAATAAAATCTTTTAGAGTACGTAGAATTATCCCTTACCCCCTATCGACCATTATAATACCCCGGTATCTAAAATAATCCCATAAAAGGTTTCCGAACTATACCTTTCGCTAACATAGAATACTTACACTAAATTACCGTAAAACCCTCCTAATAAGTATAAATTGCATACTTATAAGCCCATCGTTCTCTTTTCCTCCCCAGGCCCTTTAACCTTAATACGAGCCATAACTACAGTATTAACATTCATATCCCCCATACTACTAAACGTTATTATTAACTAAAGGACCTTCCCTTACCAACTATAAAAAAAAGCCTACTCATTTAGGGCTTATACCGCTCTCTATTCGTTCAGCATTATATATCCTCCTAAAGTTAACGGGGCAAAAAAAAAATAAATAATATCGTTAACTTCATCAAAATCGAGGTCTTAAATATATAGGGTAAGATCTTCTTCGCTCTTAAACAACTCAATTACGTTCGTTAAATAATCCTCATAAACCACTAAAAATTAATTAAATCAATTATAGCCCGTCTTACCTTATATACCCTTTATCTTTCTATATTAATTATACAACTTAGCGCGTTCCTTATTAAAATAATTACTTAACTAATAACCCTCCTTTTTATATATAAAGCACTTCCCTTTCCGTAGTACTCGGTTAGTATTAAACTAGCGCCCCCCTAAAGAGTCTATTCCTCCCCCCTAGCGGTTACTATACCTTACCTCTTTTCCTTTACCATTATACATATAGTCCACCTAATATTATTAATAAGGGCCTTCGTAAAATTAAAAATAAATCTAATTTAATATCCTAGCTTCGATATTAAAGCTAGACCTCAACCTCAAGCATAGCGTCTCGTAGTCCTTAAGCAGTTAATATAAAGTTATCTTTACCTCTAATACCCTCTATACCGCCATATATAAATAACCGACCTTTCGCTCATGAATCCCCTCATTTAGCTACGTCCTTACTAATTTATCAATCCTATCGATAAGCTCCTCAAAAATCTCAATTCTCAACTTTCCTTCCATTATTCTAGCTACAAAGCTAAATAACAATACCCTCAACTCTAAAAAGAGCTCGAGGCTCCTATCTTAAATCTCGAATCGACTTTAAATTATATCAACAATATTAAAAAAATCGGTTCGATCGATATTACACACTACTTAATAATAATACTTAACAGCTTTCCCTATTAATATAACATTAACTACTAAATAATATTAGTATTTTCGGATACCGACTTTTTCACAATAGTCATAAAATATTATAAGGGTTTCTTATAGAACCTTATATCTCCCCCCTAAATACAATTTCTTTTTTAAAAAGATCTTCTTTAAATTAATAAACTATCTTATACTAACTACCGCTAGATCATTCTCTTTACATACTTCTTATACGGTAGCGTAATTAAGTAATATCTATATTATCGACCTCGTACTTTATTAAATACTTAAAATCAATCCTCGGATTAATATTATTATTAAGGTCGTTACCGCAATAAGCGGAATCGTTATCTAATACGCCTCCAGTATAATCCCCCTTATCTACGCTAGATTAAGCACCGTAATATTACCGTTAATAATCTTTAACAAAAAGTCCGGTTAATTTACTCGTTTATTAAATTCTTTATACTTTAATACTACTCTATCGATCTAATTCTAGTCCTATAGCATAAAGTCCTCTATAGCTACTATCGCTACGAATATCTTATAAGCCTTTTACTTTACCCCTTAGGCTAGCAGAATGCCTTAATAATAAAGGAATCTATTCACCTCCTTAATAATACCGGGATTAATACTAGCGAACTATTTATCTTTCTAGTCACCTAGGTCGTCTATAACTCTATAGAATAAAGGTTACCCTTCGAGCCCCTTACGGGCATATATCTCTATAATAAAGATTAACGCCGCATTAATTTACTCGCTATTAGGGTAGTCTAAGTCTCGATATAACTATTTCCCCCAATACTCTAGATTAATCTCAACCTAATCTTTTAGGATAAAAGTCTTTCTATACGTTCTATATACTAACTCGCCCCTTATCGTCCCTTAGCTTATACTTTTATTTATAAGGGCCGGTATATTTAATCTTAATAAGGATATATTAGATCCGCTTATTAATCGTAATAATAGCATATTATCGTCGCTCGCTATATTTATTAGAGTCTAGGAGCTTCCTATAGCCTCCAACCTCTTTACGGCAAGCCTCGTCACCATCTATTCTTAATCTTCTAAATTAGCCGCTATATTTCTTATTAACGGTTTTTTTTTCTTATAGCGTATCTTATTATATAAAAAAGGTCTTTTAGTAGCCCTCTCTTTATATTCTCTCCTTAGACGTCTTCTTAACTTTCTCCTATACTAACTAAAATAACAAGCTCTTTCTTTACTTTTATAACTCGGTAAAAATATATAATCTAAAGAATTAAGTACCTCACACCCCTTTACAGGGTAAATATTATAATACTTCTAAATCCTTTCCTTCTTCATCTTAACTCCGCCTAGCTCTTATTCCTTCAAAACAGCCAAAAGATAATAAATATAGGTAAAAAGAGGAAGCTTAACTTTAAAATCTTAAAATCGGTCTTAATAATAACAATATCGCTATCGATCCCGGTAACCTCCTCGGATTCAACCAAAAAATACACCTAAAACTACCAGCAAGGTCTAGTTCCTACCTAAACACCCTATTACTTTAAAAGTTTATTTCTATAGTCCTAAGGTACCTTTTTATATCCTCCAATTAGGCCTATTTCGTTATACAGTCGAGATCTATAATAGATTTGCCAATCTAGCAAATCTAATAATTTCGCTTATTTTCCTTTATTAATATATAGGCCGCCCGTAAATTATTAAATAGGACAAATCGCATAAAAGCAACATAGATAGCTTAATCACCTTTTCGCAATTCCTTTAATTATAGTTTATTTTTAACGTAATAAATATCGACCTTTTATAAGCAATTAAAGGCTACGATTCCTCTACTTTATTCCGTTATAAAGATTCGTATCTTATTACCTACTTTCCATCAGGTAAATAGCACGATTCTCCTATCACGTTCCGTTCAAAAAAGTCGTCTCTTCTACTTACAAAATACCTTACTAATCTACAATAATAGGATTTAACCACTAATCAGTATTAATATTCCTATCACAAGGATAGTTCGAACCGTAAATAACGAAGAGGTCAAAATCTATATATATTTAACTTCTACATAAGGTATAAAAAGGAGGTTCTAACCGGAGGTTAGGTAGACCGTAGATCTCGTAAGTATGGTCTATAAGTGGCCCCTGCGCGGGCCCCTTGCCTCGAGGTCGAATTGGACTTCCAATCCGACAGCAGGCGAGTTTTCTACACTTGGACCCCTGGAACCCAAGCAGCAACAATTTGGGTGCACTATCAAGAGATAACAATTATTCTTATAATAAGCAAAAACATATATAGTGTTTGACTGTTTCATGTTGTACTCCCCGATATAGAGTCTTTTTGTCAATGTGTACCCCATAGATTCTTTCATCTACCTGACTTGAGATGGTGGAGGACCTTCATAGCACTCTGGATGAAGCTGTTTCTGGGTTTAACCAAAAGGGACCCCGTCACTACCAATGGCATTAGGAGCATTTGGTACTGTTCAGCAACTTTTACTTTTGGCTCATGTGTCAGCAAGCCTGACATCTTCCACGAACCACCGTTTGCAAAGAAGGCACCCTCAGCAGAAGAACTGGTCTTCATTCGATAAATTTGAGAGCACGATAGAGAACTATAAAAGGCTCATGTCAGTGTGCACTCACTGACTCTTAGGGTGGTCATCGAGTTTGTGCAGCTCCCAGAATGAATACAATCGGTGGCAACTCTTAAATTCGCTACTGTCAGGGGCAAGCTCAAGGAGCTATCAGCTATGAGGCCTTGGTCGTCTTCATATCACGACTAACCACTCCTCATGTACGAGGCCAGAAAAAACGAAACTACAATGTTAAACATGTCTAAGAGACCTACGATAACGTTAGGCAATGGAGGCACGCAGAAACGCAGGCACATTACGTTTAGCTCAAAATGGAGAGGTACTAAAGGATCATCGAACCCCGGGCCTTGACGTTTTTTCTCGAACCCACCGGTAAGGCATGCAGGGATGCGGGCCAATAGATTGCGTGTCGCTGCGAGTATCTGGATATGGCCACACCTCTGCGGAGATAGCCAGATGCGAGATGCGAGATGTGAGGTGCGAAGTGCGAAGTGCAGGATGCGGGATACGAAGAACGAATGTTGATCCTTTGAGAATTGATTGACTGCGAAAACACATAAATACCTAAGATAATATCTATGTTAAATAAATGTCCTTAATATCAGACCAACGGGTGCACGAATTCTTTTCCAGGTGATCGACACGAATTGAGGCTTGATCTCGACATAGCTAAGGTCTTTTCAACACTCTACAACCAAGTCAAAAAGGTCAGCTCCTGTAACTGAAATGAACCTCTACAAATACTTCCCATCCGGGGCAGCTGCCATCATATTTTTTATTGCCTTCGTCATCGGAGGTGCTTGGCACCTCTACATCATCGTCCGCAAGCGAGCGTGGTATTTTACACCAATGCTGATCGGATGCATCTGTAAGCTTCTTGTCACTACTTATTCTCCTCTATCTCGAGTAGAAGCATATAAAAAGAAACCACAACTAACACGGAACCCGGCGCAGTGGAGCTGGCTGGCTACATGGCCCGCTTTCTCTCCTCTAACGCCCCAGATGAGACTGGCTTCTTCATGATCCAGACACTCTGCCTCCTCGTAGCACCCGCCCTCTTTGCCGCCTCCATCTATATGGTTCTTGGACGTCTCATTCTCCATCTCCAGTCCGCATCTCTCTCTCCTATAAAGCCCTCACGGCTCACAAAGATCTTCGTTATCGGCGATATCCTCTTCTTCATTGTGCAAATCATGGGTGCCGGCATGTTGGCCAGCACCAGCACCATGAACACTGGGAAGACGGTCATTCTGCTCGGTCTGGCGGTTCAACTGATATTCTTTGGCTTGTTCGTTGCCGTCACGGCCGTGTTCCACTCGAGGATGTCCAAGCAGGTGCCAGCGGCCGTGATGGAGGAGGAGGCACACACCGGATGGGGGCGACGATTCAGCGGCTGGAGAGGCGTCATGAGTGTGCTCTATATCGCCAGCGGTATGATATTTGTCCGCTCACTGTTCCGACTTGCCGAGTACGTCGAGGGCAATGATGGCGTGTTGCTCGGCACCGAGGTGTTTCTCTACATATTTGACGCCCTGCTCATGCTCGGTGTCGTGGCCATTACAGCCGTCTTCCACCCGGCCCAGTACGTTGCAAGAAAGAAACAGCTTGTCGAGTTGCAAAGCATGGAACGCACCTACTGAGCTTGCCCCTTGAGGAAAGAAGGGCGGCACAGGTCTTTTGTCTGCTTTGGTGGCTAATGTGTAAAACTCTGCGTCACTACGGTTGTATGTGCAAGACACCGTGAAAGCAGATGTACGGTGTATTTTGATAGACTTTAAACCTCAATCTAGACTATCAAAAAACCCTTCCAAAGAATTTGCACTGCCTGTGCCCTGACAATATGCGAGCCCAGACAGAAATGGCGCCAGCAGATCCAAGTCTTTCACCAAAACAGCCACTTTGGGGGCCGCCAGACACCTCTGCCACGAAGGTCCGACGGCATCGGCGAGCTTGTCCATATCTATCGGCGCGATATCTTGGTACAACCATGTCTGCGGTAGCCAAGGGAAGAAGGCGAGATAGTAGGCCATTACGACGAGAGCCCGCGGTCGCCCTCTGCGGGCCATGTCGACGAAGCCAGACGTTACAAAAGCAAAGGGCCATGTTCGGACTTTAGACACGATGCAGGGCAAATCCACGACGTTAGAGACGCAGGACGAGGCATCGCATTTTGGGCAGAAGAGCGCGCCGAATAGTCTCCCCATGCCCTTGATCGCGCGCCGTAGGTCGTCGATGCAATCCCAGTCCTCGTCATTCTCGCCAACTCCTAAGTGCACTAGCTCTAGATCAGGCACGACAGACACAGGACAGGGGTGATAGAAGTCAGAGTCCTTGTTACTCATCCTCTCATTTCCTCTCCCTTGCCTTGCGCTGGAGAAGGCACCCAGCGCCGTCCCTCTCCAGGGTAGAATCGTTCGTGGACCTATGCTCAAGGCCAGATAATTGGTCAGCCAGATCCCCTCGTGCCCAAAGAACCGATCCGCGGCGAGGGCGGTGACGGCCAGTAAGATTGACGTCACGACCACGGCCCGAAACTTCTCATCTGGCCTCTCTCCAATCATAACGTGCGAGTTGCGCGTGAGTTGGACACGCAACCGACGAAAGGCCTGATCCCGATACAGGGCCAATCGCGGCAAGCCGTCTTTCGCAGACTCGTCGGTGCTCGATAGGTGCAGCAGAGCGACCGAGAGGATGGCATCCATAAGGAAGTGATTCTGGAAAGCGAGTCGGGGAATGTCCAGCCGCAGAGACTGGAAGGCGCGACCCTCGAGCTGGAACGTTGTGGCGAATGATTCGACGGTAAAGTTGGAGTAGTGGTGGAGGAGGCGCAAATGGTCCATCTCTCGGCTTGTGTATCGTGGAAGAAGATCGCATAACAGCGGCTCCACCTCTGTAACTCGGGAATGTTGCTCGGTAGGGTCTATCTGCCCGTTTGCCTCCGTCAACAGGCTGTTCGAGGGCAACACATTGCTCTGCGGGTTGCAGTAAAAGCGAGGCGTGTAACGGCATTGCGTCTGCCGCCTCGCACACGCCGAGCAGGCAGGCTTCTGTTCATCGCACTACAGACAGCGTCTTCTAGTCAGCAAGGAAGGATCATATGCTACTAATCTACGCAAGAAGGTGCCAAGCTAGACAGAGAGTACGCGCCTTTACGCGTCTAAACTTGCAGTCAATGCATCCGTTCCTCGATTTGGTATGGTGTCGTATCCCGTGTACCTTGACTGCCGCGTGAGCGGGCTTCATTTCTCCCAAACAAAAAAGGCACCGAAGTGTATACAGCACGGAGGCCAAGTGGCTCTACCGTTTGGTTAATAACAACAATGAAAGAGAACGCAAAAACTCGCTTACTAGTTAAGGAGTACAGCGCTATTTAAATCCCTACAAAAGTAAAGCCCAGAGGGATGTCTTGCAGAGGTAAGTGGGAACTCTTCCGGTTAAAAGGGGGGGGGGGGCTGTGGGGTGTCAGCTCACACCCCTAGCCGGATACGTGTATCCGTATCCGGGGAGTTTCTGACGCCTCTCACCATAATGCAGTGGGATAATCCACTGTGATGCTAAGTCTCTCCCAATTGCTGTGGAATGGCTGTTTTGGAGTGTACGTAAACAAAGTCATGTAAGACATGACTCAGGCAGCAAATCTTCGAGAGTACTTTCAAGGAAGATCAAAAAAGAAGTCGTGATTTCATAATCATGACTCTATTCAGCATTTTTGAATCAATCAACGAGAACAGAAATCAATTCAGATTACATCCTGAGCATCCCGCGCCTCCCAGGTCTCCATCACAGCAGTCCAGTACTCCTCCTTATTCTCACGAGCTTGGCTGCAATGCCCACTCTCTCTAAACTTGACCACCATGCTGTCAAGTCCCAACAGCTCAGCGCTCTCCCAGGCATGATCCTCAACATCTTCCCACGCAATGAGGTCGTCCGCTTCTGAGAAGACGTACGTCCGCGGAGCACTCGTGACGTCCCAGAGCACTTCATCATTCAATGCAATCCTCGTTTTGGAGATGACATTGTTCTCACGTCCCACGAACACCGAGTAGACTCCGTAGACCATGCCCAATACGATAGCACCGAAGGGAAGCCCTATAGCGCGGACGAACTTGTTGGAGGGCAGCGACCGCTTGAAGGCTGCGACATTCGATGAAAAACGTGGCTTCCCTGGCGTACTGTCGAATATGAAAGCCCCCACAGGTAACTGGCAGCCCGTGGCAGAAAGATATGCTCGAGCAAGGCACACGGCCTTATTCGATCCTCCCTCTGAAAAGGCATGAAGGAGGATTGAAGGTCGCTTACATTGTGAGCTGATGTGATTCCGGAGAAACTCGACGGCCGACTCAAGCATCGTGACCTTTTCTTTAGTTGAGCGGAAGACGAGATCTTTGATCACCGTTGTGATGACCATGATCGGGGTATCCGGATATAATTCATTGTATCGCCTGGTGTACTTGGCAACGTTTCTCGGGTCTGCCCCCGTCCAGGAAGTGAGGAGTATTATGGAGGGACCTGGCGCATCGGTGCTTTCCGTCGACGAGGACGTGGGATCGGAACAAAATGAGAAGGCTGATGTCGAGTGCTGAGAGGCTTCCTGAACGTATATCGATGGTGCCAGGACTCTGAACCCAAGCAGTGCCCAGCGGGTTGGTGCTCTATCCGCTTGGATGGAATACATTTGAAAAGAATAGTTAACGTCTGCGAGTACAGGTAAAGATGGAGATGGATGGAAGGAGTTTATCAGAGGGTTTTAGTTTGGAAGCTATCCTATCTATTTATGCCAAGATAGAACCAGATTTTGGAGGGCTTTTGCTTGGTCTTTAAATCAAATTCATGTGACGGCCACAGCCACTGTTTTGGGGAAACAAATGACTGTGAGAAGATGCAGAACCACCGATCAAGGTCCATAGTAGTCTTCGATATGTGCCAGTGACAGTCAGTATCAGCACTGCCTAGCCCCGAGGACTACCACTGAGTACAACAATACCGATAACATGGACTCGGGCCCGCCTAAATGGGCTGTAGAGTACCGGCAGCTGTGGAATTCGCCAAATGGCTGAGTCTAGTTTCGTACCCGGCTTGCGGTCAATACGTATCTCTTTGTGGACCTCAACTGAAAACTTCGGATCGGCGTCAACCGTTGCACTAAGTAGCAAAGCTACAGTCTCTCGGACACTGGCCAATGAAGGGATGTTGTGGGAGCTGAACAATCATATGCCTTCGGATCAAATGGGGTGATGAACGACTGCCATTGGCATCAGCCAGCTTTAGGCAACTAGCGAGTCATCACCAAGGCATTTGGTACGTAGATTTGTTAATAACAAGCGAGACTGGAATGTGGTTGCTGGCTAGTGCTTTTCAGTTCTAGGGCCTAGCTGCGTTGGTGGATGTCTCACCTTTGGGGCGCATTGCTCTAGAAGTATTGTTTTGAGACTGTGCCTTTTTTCTTTTTTTTCGTTCAGCCTTTATACCAAATGTCCCTGTGCGCGAGCGTACCTACCTTATCTGTACGATCGAGAGCTAAGAAACGCCATAACGCCACCGCAATGGCATGAATGAGCTTAAACCTAAAAGCAGTTATCTTTACATTTGTGATTGGATCAAAATCCGCAGAAAGTTTTTTCGACTAGCTATCCCGCATGCAAGATCATTTAGCCGCTTGTAGAATAGTGGAAGAGTCTTTCTATACTCGGAGCCAGATATCCGGGTTACTAGTGTTCTCTGATTCTTTCGCGATAAGAATCGAATTCTGAATGCAGTAGGAGATCAAGCGATGTATTCGAATAAGATATCAGCCCTGCTATTATAACCGGCAAAAGAAGTAAGGCTAGTCCGTCCGCGGCCTGAGTAGACTGGACTAGGGTACATAAACCGTTCCGAAAACTCGGGACACATCCCAAGATCTTCGTCCAGCCTGGCTGGACCCTACCGGCCCAAGCCAAGACTATCCAGCTAGTCAATCGGCCCTGTGGCTGTTTTGTGCTTTTTGAGGGGCAGAGTTGTGAATAGTCCCGTTCGCCGCATGCTGCTTGGGAAGTAAAATGTAATTAGTTCAGCTAATTTCTTGAATCACAGTAGTCCGTTAGCCTAAGCTTATCAGGTTTGTGCTTTGCACATGTAATACTATATATACAGAATCAAACATCTTCCTCCGACCGCCCCAAGCTTTTGGATCGCCTTTACCCACATCACCCTGACATTTTTCTTGCCATGATGATGCCGAATTCTACGTACAAATCAAACGAGTCACCAACGGTGCGCGTCATTCCACTATCTACTTCTACAGAGGCCCCTATGAATATTACCGAGTCTCAAAGCTCAGAACTGGAATGGACGCCAGGTCAGGCAGAATATGCTATCGTAATAACCATATCTATCGTCTCTCTTATGGTCGCTCTGGATGCTACTATCTTAGTCCCGGTGCTACCTGTAAGCCACCATCACTCTCCTCCCACATCCGTTCCAATGTCTCCTTTGATGGCATAATAACATGATACGTTTGCTAGAACCTCGCCCTTGATCTGGGTGGCTCTGCTACCCACTCATTCTGGGCTGGCACTTCATATCTCCTTACATGCGCCGTTTTCCAACCTTTCATCGGCGCTCTCTCCGACATCTTTGGCCGGAAGGAGATGCTGCTCGTCTCCTTATTCTTCTTCACCCTTGGTACCCTGCTCTGCGCTCCCCTTGCCCACGACTTTACCGTCTTGCTGGCTGGACGGTCAATACAGGGTATCGGCGGCGGCGGCATCATTACGATGGGTCAGATTATCTTTGCGGATATCATTCCTTTGAGGTTGAGACCCAAGTACTTCGCATTCGTGCTAGGCGCCTGGGCTCTGGGAAGCGTGCTGGGGCCGTTGATTGGAGGTTTATTTGTTCAATATGCAACGTGGAAGTGGTGCTTCTACATCAATGTGAGTGCTGCAACAACGGTGACTATCAACGCGGAATTCATCAAAAATCTGACCTACTATACTCAACAGCTCCCCTTCTGCGCTCTTGGCTTTATAATGGTCCCACTATTTGTCCGCTTATCCACAGAGAAGTCTTCGCTCATCTCCAAACTTCTCCGCGTGGATATGGTAGGCGGGATCCTCTTTATCGGCGGCATGACCAGCTTTCTTATCGGCATTTCTTGGGCTGGCATCCAATTCGCCTGGTCCTCTGCCGCGACTCTCGCACCTATCCTCTTCGGTGTAATGGCTGTATCTCTTTCCCTCTTTTGGGAGAAGTACGGTGCAAGTGAGCCGTTTTTACGCCCGTCTCTCTTTTACTCCTGGTCCGCAGTGACCAGCTACCTGGGAGCTTTTTGCCAGGGATTCCTCCTCTTCTGTGGCTTGTATTACGTTCCTTTGTACTTCAGTTCCGTCCGTTTTGCAACGCCTGTTGAGGCAGGGCTCAACCTATTTCCCGTTACCTGTTTTCTTCTCCCTGGCTCCATGGTTGTTTCTATCCTGACATCTCGGCTCGGCCGCTTTCGATGGGGCATTTGGTCTGGCTGGGCGATCACTTCGGTGGGTTGTGGCCTACTTGTGCTACTGGATGAGAATACGAGCACCCCGTTATGGGCTACCTTCTTCGCTGTCTTCGGCATCGGGAACGGCATGGTACTCACGAGCGTCAACGTTGGAATACAGGCCATCAGCCGTGTTGAGGACTGCGGTCGTGCCGCCTGCATGTACGCCTTTATGCGCACGCTGGGAATGAGCGTCGGCGTTGCTGTCGGAGGCACCACATTCCAGAACGTCATGGCCAATCGCTTGAGAGATCTTGGTTTGCCAGAGACTGTTGCTCAGAACGCTGAGGCATTTGCAAGAAAATTGGCTACTATGGCTTCTACAGATCCGGAGCGAGTCGGGGCGCTGTCAGCTTATGCCAAAGGATTCCAGGGAGTGTTCTGGGTAATGACGGCGACGGCGACGTTTGGCTTTCTGACTAGTCTGGTGATCCGCAAGCATAGTATGAATAAGACGCTTGAGTCTAGGTTCTCATTGGATGGGGCGAGGAAGAGGAATTCAGAGGTGCCTTCGGTGGAGAGTAGCGCAACTGAGCAGGTTTGAGCGTTGGTATACTTGAATTGATAGATACATGTCAGTCGCTGTGAAGTGCCGGTCATTTGTTAGTGCTGTATTGCGACGCGCCCCGAGTAGCTACCTACGCAACAAATACTGCTCGATCAGGATAAAGATTGGTCGACAGCGTTTGATATGTGATTTCCAACAGCAAACATCCATAGCCTGTCTGGGCTCAGGATCCCCCGCATGTAGTTGCTAATGAGAGATACATGGGCCTAATTGGACCTCTCACTCGTCATGACACCATCGCCTTATGTCGTGCTACCATCTGTTGAGGGTTAAGAAGCCGGTATATGATATAAAATGGAACGTATGCTACATATACACCGATAATTGTCACTACGATTAGCTCTTCATCAACGCGGCTATCCGGCGTAGAGTGACGAAACCAATTTTCTCTCAATACGTATAGATATTTTTCGTTCCATGTCGCGAAACGTCATTTTAGCCTTAGAATCAATCCACCAAGCCTTTGATGTCGGCATCATCCTCAGACATGTGCTTTCCCTCAACACTGTCCACGTCCAAGAAGATTGATGGCCAATAAAGACACCAAAGGCATTAATTCGTTTACTTTCTCATGAAAAGCCTTCCTCCGTGGTCTCTCGATTTTCTCCTCATTCTTCAAAATTTTGACCGTGCCCTTCATATACATTGAAGTCACAAGCTTGGTTTTGTCCCGACGGACACTTTTCCCATCATCTCTGAACGCTTGATCCAATATCAAAATCAAGTCACAAGCGCATTTGATCAGCATTCGGGCAGCGGGAGGCGTTTGCAGAAGCGGCGCCCCAACTGCAAGAGCGAGGCCACCAATAACCGTGGACAGAGTTAGACAGACACAGCCGCCCCAAACAACTGTAGATTGAGCCACTTCTTATATCATGAAAGGAAGAAGGGTTTTCCAGACGACACTACCAAGAAGGGTATCGATCTTAGCTACTCGTGCCTCTGGTTTACTGAAGCAACCACGTGCAATTTCTGGACAAAGGAATTTTCAGACAGTCGGCGTTGCTACAATAGTGCCTACCTTAAGGAAGGAAGCAGCACTTAGCATCCCGCGGCAGTGCCGGTCTGCTGGCCTTGGGCGGAGGTCTAGGTCAGCAAGGTCCACAGATCATGCTCCATGTCCAGGAACAAAATACAGCATTCAATGCCGCGAAGCGTAGAAACGCTCTCGCGCGCCGTCTTTTACATACTCCCAGCCAGCTCGCTGAGACAAAAGAGTAGCCCCCCCAGACAAAGCTCGCTCTGGCCAAGGCCGACCAAGAGTGTCGTGCAGCTATTAGTATTCAGGAGGAGGAAATGGGCGGTAACACTAACCAATCTCGGCTGGAACAAGAATTGGCACTGTCGAAGCACGTACAATCGCCACTCGTTCACTCACTTGCCATGCTATAGAAGTTGCATGACGAGGCCGATGCACGCCTTAAACGCCTGGAAGAGATGGTGGTCGTAGTTGTTGGTCGTTCCTGATGGAGCATTTTGCGGTCTATTACCTGATTCATGTACCTACCACAACACCTCATCACCGCACTACCGAGAAGACTACGGGCGTGCTAGGTTTTGGTACTTCTGGGTGTATCTGTTACGGAGGCACTGAACATCGCAGCATGGGTTGATTAAGGTAGTAGACAAGTATATGCACGGGTTTGAGGTTTCATCGCCGCCGCCCTCACAGATGTGCTTATTGTTATGGATGAACACAGAACATGGTGTGCCCCCACCTTAGGTGTCGATAACTAAGTGCACGTTTGTTCTTTCAAGGTGTCGGTCGCGGTGTTGGCTGGCGTTCTGGAAATGCACTCGGAGTTCGATGTTAGTTGATTGGCTACATCCGCAGTAAGCGACCCAACAACCTACCTCTGGCAAGTGTCTGGCCCCCCCCCTGCGCCAGAATTGCGGATCGAACCTCTTTTCTTTGACTCGTTTCCAGCTCTGGCAGGAAATCGAACAGTATTCCAAGCAGGTCGACGGCGGCCTGTCTTCTTGGAAGAATGGAGCAGTTCATTTATTGTGACACTCGTAGTACGCTCGTTCTATATTCAGGCCTTCGGAAATCCTGTGGCTACTCCCCACTCAGCCATCCCACTGCTCACTCCGTCTTACTGATTGCGAGAAGTCCCGCGATCGCCATTGAGCGTCTTAACGAGATGCTTCACTAATGAACTAGAAACGCCCTTCTGAGCGAGTTCGTGATGAGCTTGACCACAACTGTTTTGGCAGGGTGGTGCGATTCTTAAGTGGTGCAGTCAGGCAGATACACGGCCGCGTACCGCACTCCTGTGTAGCGTATAGCAGCGTCCAAAGACGCAAGTAGCTGGCTGGCTGTTAATGCCGAGTCCAAACATCTCAGAGTCGACAGATTAGAATGGTTGCGAAGCGATGAGTGATACATCCTTGACATGTAGACGACGAGCGTGGTGTCCCAGCGCCACTCTTACCTCCGGCGCGGCGGCGCCCGCATTCAGCCCCACCCTATCCCGGAGAGATGGATTTACGGAAGTAAAATCTGTGTACGGATAATTGAATCTTGTGTACGGCGCACGAAGTACGGATACGGAGTACGAACACTGCCGGAAGCTAGTCGAGCTTACTAAGGTGGCGGGGAGCGCCACAGAGAGCCAGCCACAAGTGGCTAATTAGCCCAACACAGTCAGCCAATTGAACACCTTCTTATGGAAGCTACCAGTGAACTCATTCGCGGAATAACGATTTACCGTGTACTGCTCCGTGCACCCGCTCCTAGGCTGTCTCGTGAATTCCAGCTTTCTCCGCATCTGGCCCTCGTTTCATTGTCGCCCCAACTGCCACCAAATCTACCTTCAACATCATCCCCCCCTTCTCCAGCCAGTATCTCTGCTGCACGTTCCTACCTAAAAACCTGTCTTCATCGTTCCGACCGTTCACTTGCTGGCGCCACTCACTGTGCGAGGAGGACCGGGTTCCCGTCAGAACCAATTCAATGCGATAGCATTCACGGCTTTGCGCCTGAGTTCGTGACTAGACGCCCCGGTCATTCTACTGTTCGCACAGTAGCTACCCATGCACTTTGAGCAGGTTCGGGATCTTGCTGGATACGTCTCGTCTAGTTGGGCGGCGCGAAGAACTCGCTGTGAAGGGCAGAAGAGGACGATGGAAGCACAACCGTAAGTACAAGCCCTTCTCCTGCGTGCAGTCGGCTACGGCCCTCCATATCTAAATCTAGACGACCGACCGGAAACGACTTCGACATGCCGCCCTCCGACTCGGACAATTTCGACTTTGATGCCCCCGAAGTCATTGCGGTTCGTGAAGATGAGGGACAATCACCTGAAGTGATTGAGCAGTGCTTTCAACTGCGCGTCCGATATACTTCCGTTGGCTTCGTCTCTTTTCGTCTTTTGCCAGTCCCTTACAGCATGCCGACAAAAACCACGGCTTGGCTACAGATCAGAGCGAACTGCATAGAGTCGTTGGACAAAATGCTTTACGACAAAGCCAACACCGACAGCCCAAGCCCACCTTATCTCGAAGCTGTCCGCCGGCGGCTCAATGGCATGCAATCGGTAACCCGTCTTCAATTTCAATTGCACAGGGACGGTCACATCGACCTTATCACACCAGTCGATTCCGATGCCGAAGACATACTCGGCGAACCTGTCTTGAAAATAGGGGCATCACTCATGTCCCTTGCAACAGCTTCGCGCTTTTCCATGTACTTTCGACACGACATCCTGCGGCGGAAAACGTTCCTCAAGTATAAAAGGGCCATTCGAGACTTTGACTTTCTCCATTTGACGGAAATCGAGAAGAACGCGTATGAGTGCATGGTAGACGTGCGTAGGCTATATCATGGCGCTGGCGGCCAGGTGCACAGGCCTCATGGCTATCGTGACTCTCTGTCAACCAAGGAACATCGCAGCTCCCCCGCTTCAGCCACGCCTGCATCGTGCGGTAGCACACTCCCTTTTGAGGATGTGCCACAAGATCGGGGTTTACCCCCGCCGTACGACGAATGCTTGAGTGAGGGACGGTCGCCGAAGATCAGGTCAGACGCCGCATCCATCGTCGCCGAATGGTCCAGACGCGACTGCGACCCGCAGGAGCATGGCGAGACCGAACGGCGGAATGCTGTGCTGGAATCCTCAGAGGGTGTCTTGCCCTTGTTAGACGCAGATATCCACACAAAACGCATCCAAAGAAAACGTTCAGGAACCACCGTTTGCACCGCAACGACGTCTCCAAAAGACGCTCCTCGCCCGGATAAATTGCAACGAACGCTGTTAGCTGATCTGGATGGTCCACTGATGCGTGCGTTCGAGCGGCAACAACAACAAATACACGATCTACAACACATGTTCAAGGAATCGCAGAAACGTAACGAAGAGCTCGAATTGCGGTGTGATGAACTCGAGAAGAAATGTAGTGAATTAGAGGATATTCAATCTGCGAACGTGGATACTGTCGAGAATCTCGACATTGTGGTTGACGGACTTCAAGCTAGGTGCGATAGTCTCGAGAAACAAATGCCAGACGTATGTGATGAGATGGCGGACCTTAAGGAGAAATGGTTAGAGGAGTGTAGAGAGGAATTGGAAGAGAACGAGCGCGAATCAAGTGAGGATAGCAAGGCGAGACAAATTCGCGAGGGTGTCGAGGCTGAAGTAAACCAAATTAGAAGGAGGGTTCTGAGAGCCCTTCAACCAACGTCTGCCAACGGAGAAGTCAAAGTAAAGTAACTAGAAGGAACAACACCCCCACGAAACCAAAGACTACCATTTTTCAGTGCCCGGAGAAACCACCCATGAGCATCATTGTTTTCAATCATGCCGCCTTCGTGCGACCCATCCTTCACGGCACCCTTTCCAAGCGGGTTGCCAACATCGATTTCTTCCCCTAGGCTGTCCTGGGACTCATCATGAGCACCGAGGTAGGCACTTGAGGTGCCGAGTCACGATGGCCACATCGAAACCCGCCCACACCTTCCACTACAGTCAGACAAGCTCCTGACCTCTAGGCTAATATGACTGCCTTTCCTATTACTTCAGAACAAAAGGGCTTTGCAGGCTTCGGGCTCCGCGGTCTGTTGCAGTGAGGAGTCTCTCATTCACTCCACTTGAATAGACCGGGATCTCTCACAGTGGGATCGAATCACGCATCACGACTAAGGCAGGTGAGACCAAGAATTACCAATTAAGTAGGACTTGTTATCTTTGAAAAGCTCATGCAGAGAAGGCCCCACAACAGTATGGAAGCTCATTAGCATCTCGCTGACGGAAGGACAATTAGAATATGCCGGGTTATTTTGCACTTGACGTTTATATAGATCCTTGGAGTAAATCACCCGGACTTTTTAATAATTTCTTCCTTTCTTTGCTATTTAACATCTTGTTTACATTCCGTCCACACATGGTCTATATGGTTTAAAGAGGCAAAAAATATGTCAGATGATCACCACGCATTCTTTGGCTATGGTATCACTCGACCATTTCTATTCAGATGGTATACATCTGCCCTTGTTCTGAGTGGCATTGTATTTACTGTGCTTTTCACCTTCATCAACTTGCTTCGTGTGGCTACGACATGTGTAGAGACATCTGTCGATCCAAACATCACTGACTCTCAACAACAGTGGTTACAATACTGACCATCCTATTTGACTTCCAAGATCAAACCCGTATGCCAGCCAGCCGACCTACCTATGAATGGATAATTCTTTACCAACCAAACGGTGCTTACATACGCACTAGTGGCTGTCTGGCAACAGGAGGACGGTTCTACAACCATCTTGCCTTCGTTGTCATATTACAACAATATCCTGCAGAATTATTACGTTGCCTCAACTGGGGTAGATCTCGAAGCATTGGACCAATCAGCTCATTAGTTTGCTTATACTGAATGGAACGCCATCGTTCGAACATCTGTTACTTGCCAAATCACAGATGTTTTGGGCACCATCTTTTTCAACCTCAGTCAAAAATACAACCACGTCCCCACGTCTACCGAGTTCTCGTGGGTTAACAACGGTTTCCTAGGAGCCGAGTTCCTCACACCAGACCAACAAGCCCGAGCGAGTCTGTGAGGGGGCGAATCGTTTGATGTCGAATTACTGGGCATATTTAACTCGACTGATGCAAGACATTCGCGAAGAGCGGATAAACCGAACTGTCAAGAATTCACAAGGACACCTTGAACTTCACGCCCCAAAAGGCATTTACCAATTTGACCAGTTTGGAATTTACCAAAACTGACTATCGCTTTATTATTCACGAAGGTCCCGGCCGGTTTAGTATAGTTTGCCGCTTGCCTGTGGAGGAAACCACAATCAGCTTACTAGACCAGCGAAAAGTATACGCCAACATCTGGATCCCGGTGGATACTCTTGTCAAGTTTACCTATTCCACAGTACTCACAAACCTAGGACAATCCAATAAGACCACGGGGTCGATTGTACTCGTGGATGCGACGGCCTTGCAGTATTTTACAGCCAACTTTACAATGCTAAGATCTCATATGGCTACGCCGAGCCTGACCCGGAGCGGAAATCGATGATGTCCTAGGGGTAACAACGGATTCGCTGGGAATTACTCCATCCGTCATCTCGACAAAGTACACGCGTCAGGTACTCCGACTCAAATCGGCCGGAAATCTGTTCGTTGCGATTCTAGTCGCGAATCTAGTACTGCTGAGGACAGTATGGCAGTTGTTCTAATTTGGCGCGGAAACGTGTCTAGTGCGCAGTCGGCCAAACGCAATGTTTTGCAAAGGGTGTTTTGCGGCCGGTCTCGTAGACAATTCTCAGGACATTGGCCGGGTTATACAACAGCGCTTTTCAGAGAATGCGCCTTTTCGAAAAACTGCCTATAGTTGGGACGGGAAATATGGCATGATCTCACTTGACGACTTAGATGCCACCTTGACATTACGACTTGAGTCGTTAGAAGCTGTGGGATAAGAGATGAACCGACAAGGGTGCATAGCTAAGTAGATATGACATCGATTATATAAGATCATAGGATAATAGGAGCAGGGTCGTTATGGAAGATGATCATCACTGAGATATCCAATATTTGGCATTTTGAATCCTAATTGGAGTCACTGGCTCTGAATCGTACGTGTGGCTGATTTTGCTTTCCAGGATATCCTTGCACCAGAATTTTCTCCCAGGTACGCTATAACCTGTGATTACCCAATCCCGAGTCTTCGTATTCCGGTAGGGCCATCCTACTATTCCATCTGCTTTGATCCCAGTTTACCCAGGCGGCGTCAGCGGCGCTTGAATTTAGTTGAGTGGCCGTTGTGAAAGTACTTGACGATGGTCTGAATTCTGTCCGGAAGTTCTGCAAAGAAGGAGACACACGCCATTGTCAGAGACCGCCCAAAACTTGTGAGTGAGGAGAAGGGGGGAGGAGTAGTGGAATGGAAGCGTCTTATCGTGTTGGTTCCTCTGCAGACTGTTTTGCGAATCGGGTATATATGTCCTCGTCGTTCCCATCGGATTCATTTTTCGAGTTGTAAGCCGTACCCGTTCTCTTCCGCCGTCGTTGGGAGGACTTCGTCGCAGTTGAAGAGGACTCTAAACTTGTTGTGCGGCGGGAATACCTCGCCTTGGAGACATTTGTTCACGTCGCTACACGGGTTTATGGTGCCGCTTCATGCCTGTGTTCGACATGTGCCCGAGCTGTCGGGAATGTCGGTGAGGGTATATCGATTATTTCTGTAGGTCCTAATGCTTCTGTGGAGTCCGTCGACGTTTTTGGGACCCCTTGAGCTGGAGAGCTGGACATCGTGTAAAAGGGGGAGCAGGTGACTGGACTAGGTGAGTTTGTTAGTATTCCTCGTAGCGTATGCCATGCCTAGACGTCACGAAACTCACGATGTATCCTTAGGAGCTTACTTCGACAATCCGCGGCGACCTGAAGCGAATGATAGACCGGAAGCTCGATAACTACGTCCAAACCTCTCCTTTCCAGCGATTTAATTGAGTCCCAAACGACTTCTCGTTTCCTATGGCGCAGCTAAGCCCCCCGATCGTCAACTTCTCTTCCCTGCTGACACCCATCTATCGACATTGTAGGTACTCAAACTTGCCGATTCGATGGGAATCTATAGTGTTGGTCAGCGGATCAATTTCAATGACGTCTGGTGAAATACCAGTGAGTACGAGAGACGTCTGATCGAAGAGAGGGTCGGAAGGTGGCTCCTCGGAAAGTTCTTACGGCAACACCACGGCATCAACCCCGGATTTTACAAGCCCGATGACTTCAACTTCACCGGTTCAATAAGGGGGATTATAGTACGTCCTCCTCCAGTCGCCGGTTTCAATCTCTATTCCAAGGGAGATAAGAACGGATCTAATACTTACCCCTCTTTATAAAAGTCGGGTTAGAACCCACAGTAGACGTGCCACGCCCAGTAAGTAGGAACGTAGGTATAGTCGCAGGTCGTATTCTGACCGTGAAAACTGCGACATCCGTTTTTGCACGATTTCAAGAGACCGTAGCTCGTATTCCTCTGAGAAATAGCTAAACGGAAAAGGACAGAAGAATGCAGAGATATGCAAAGAGAAAAGACACCATCTGGAGGAAGACACCTCCACCTTATTCTCCGCATTGTGACTTGCTATCACAGCTCAGTTATCTTGAACTCGGAACCGGATAAGTCTAGCAAGATTAGATCCGCCGGGTACCAGCGTGAGACAAGATATGACGGGGGC